GGGGATGGTTCCTAGGGGCAGTCTAGACCAAGTTAGTGGAGAGGGGGGGCCGGGATGTAATAAAAGTGGGAGCTTGGACAGGGGGACGAGGGAAGAAAAAAAGAATTGCCTGCTCTGAACCATCTTCTTGGGTTTATCCTTACATGTTGCTGACAAGCAGTGAGTGCCGAGAGTGGACTGCCATTCACCTTCCTGACACATCGACGTGCATAAGAGATACGCGAACGAACCAACAACCAACAACCAACAGACGGACAAACCAACAGCCCGTCACGGAGGTTCGCATTAATTGACTGCCCATTGCACTACGGCATAGCTAGCTACTCACCATACGAAAATGGCATCCGAATTACGACGTCCAAGGATCAATTACTCCAGATTGAGCACCTCCAAAGACGAGGTCCGTTTCTTGGAGATTGAACCTGCAAACTCAGTCGATGACCAGGTCGTCTGTCGCCTCGTCACTCTCCCTCTCAGCCGAGACGTCGAATTCATCGCCATCTCCTCATTGCTCGGCGACCCCGCAGACCAAGACAGAATCATTCTCGACCGAAATCCCATTCCCGTCCCCGTCCACATCGCCCTCGCCCTCAAACATGTCCGAGCCGTATTCTACCCCGCCGTGAGCAAATCGAGCGACAGTCTGGGCAGGGAGAGGAAATCACCGAATTGGCTGAGGAGCCTTCTCAGGCATTTTGGCGGGAGAGAGGTGGACAACAGGCCGAAGCTGCGGGTATGGATCGACTGCATCTGCATCAACTCGATGGACTCGAGGGAGAACTCCAAGAGCAGAGTCATCATGTACCACGTGTACCAGCGCGCGCAGATGGTAGTGGGCTGGGTGGGACTCAAGATACCGCAGACTGATCTCGGTATCCAGCTCATCCAAGCATTTGACAATGCTATGCCCGAGACGTGGCAGGAACCCGGCGATAAAGAGGAACACCCCGAGAACTACTCACCCCATCACGAGTGGGCAATTCCCATTATCCACTTATTCGACCCCCAAAGCGACTCTGCCATTGGAACTGCAGACTTTCTCAACAGGAACTTCTTCCACCGCCGTTGGATCCTCGAAGAGATGGCCATGGCCAGGGTACCGACCTTTCTGATTGGTGATGCGATTGTTTCGTGGAAACAATTACTACGACTCAATCTTGCCATGGAGGAGTTCAAGGATCACGAGTCAAACGTCTGCCCCGCATCTACAAGACCCTTGATACACGAGTTTCCATTGGGCACGATCCATGCATTGCTGGACGAGTTTGAGAAGAGGAAGAAGATGGCGAAGATGGAGTCACTCAACAGCACCTCTATCACAGGAAGTGTCACGAGCGCAGACTCGATAAGCCACCAGGACTCCAACACAAGGTCGATACCATGAACAAAAGGTTACGGAGTAGAAGGGATATCCATGTTTTAGCAGCTTTGATACCGCTTGATTTCTAGCACTTACGAACTTAGTTCACGTTTCTTATGTTTCAATAAAAATACCAATTCGTTTCTAGAACCAATAAGTGGTCATTCAGAATGGATCCTCGGTGATAACGCGGACTAGAATCAAGTCAGTTGGCGCTGGCTGATCACCACTGACTATCAAGTGGACACATGAAACGTTATGGCTTGAGATGGGGTCATGCAGCTTAATCACACTCATTCTAGTTCTCGGTCGAAGAGGCCTTTCTGAATCATCGTCGAAACTTGGGTGAAGCATGTTAATCAAACTCAATTGTTGATTCCATGCGCTACCGGAGCTACTGTACACCTTCTTTTCTGATGACACTCTGAATGTTACAACACCGCCTGTCACGAGAGCCAGAACCTCGGTACCGCCAAGCTCAATGCTACTGTGCATCCAGAAACAGGGTCGCATTTACAAGCCTTCCTGATCAGCGTAAAACACTGGAGAAAGGTAACAACGGCCACTAGAACAAATGAGGCCAAGATACCGAAAGAAAAGGACTGAACAATGCAAAGAACTGGTGAGAGTTACGCAAACCACCACCATTACGGACTACCCTTCACTGATTGCATCAGGTGGCTAACCCTGAGACTAGGCTGTAATCCCTAGAGCAACGGTTTTCCTTCAGCGGCACGAATTGTTTCTAGCTGCGGGCTGGCGGGTGAGGCTTAATGACGGACCCTTGACCTTGCCAGAATGATATAGCTCCGTTAGCATTGGTTTAACATCTGATACTGACTCGGATCGGTATGACATGACGATAAAGTGGCAATTAGTGTCTTGTGCGATGCTTCACTGATCAACAGACGATTGCAGGCAGATCGAGCCAAATCAGAGCCCGACACGTCTGTTTGCTGCCATTCAATCCCGTCTGTCCAAGTCTTTGGAGAGACCGTTACCTTGCTAGACAGGGACAGGGTTTATGACTGGGGCAAATTTGCTCTAGTGCAAACGGCTCTGAAAATAGCATGACCATTCTCTGGTGGCTGCTGTTTAGTGCCGAGCTAATGATAGTGGTATGAGGAAATGATAACGAGGGGGCAATTGTGCGATCATTGCGAATTGATTAATATTTAACCGTATTCACTATCCAGTACGATTAATTTACCCAATCTCATGAGACTCGTATGCCAAGCGACGAGTCCGCAGACAACAACATGGGCATATCTAATGTTACATCACTAAATCAGCTGTCAAAGGCAGCCCGCAAAATATGCCCGCAATCTATCTGGCTACCGCCTGCAAGAGGCACTCCAGGACCCTCTTGCTGGGAACAAGTGGGTAATGAGCACGCGTTGCAGCAATCAAGCATAGGCTCACGACTCAATCGTACGCCCTCGTCTAACTAAATAAAATCACTCATCAACGATGGAACACAAACCCCATCCCCATCCCCATCCCCATCGCCTTTGTAGAGTAACATGGTCTTGTCTAGTGTGCCCTGAAAATCCAGGCAGTAACCTTGCAGACCGTCCTTTTGCGGTTTGGCGCGTGCTGCGTACATGAGCATTACGAATACTTTGGAACTGCTAGTGGCTTTTCTGCGATTTGTTGTTTAGCTCCGGATAGCCTCCGGTCCGCTCCCGCACGTGCGGTCAAGTTTTATATTAACTCGGTTCTGCTCCTCAAGGCACATGTGGCTGAACTGAAATGCTAGTGTTTGTTGTTGGTTCTAAAGTTTACGAACTCTCACCGGAACTGCATGCATACTTCAACGAACTCTGTTGGTTCACCTTGCTTCATGCCGAGCTTGCATGATCAGAAAAGTCGGCATTTGGCTGCCAAGTTCTCAGTTGCAGTAGCGTTGTCGTACCCAGTCGTAACGCCGAGGCAAGCTCATTTTGGCCACTGGACCGATGATATATCACATTTCTGCAATCCTCGCCTGCCATGTGGATAAGCGGGATCCACGAGATTTCCAAGCCTAGCGGTGGACAAAATATTCGAGACTCGGTTTAGTGGCAGATCGATGGGATCTTGTGGAGGCAGTCTGACATCTTCTGTCAGACAGAAGCCAGCTAAAAGATAGACAGCGGCAATCCCACGTTCAAGATGCAAGTCCGGCATGTCGATCCATCGTCTGACATGTCGAATAACAAATGAGGGAATATTCAGCGTTTAGATATCCGTAAGTTGTTACCTAGTCTAGTCTAGTGAGCGCTGCATGTGTAGTTATCTTTTGCAAAAACAATCCATCTGATCTGATCTTTCATCCTATCACTTTGTGAGCCTGATCTTCTCGGAGCGATGAGTCAAACGCCGACTAGGACTTTCGGAGTAAGTCCTCCATGACTTGGATGGTCTTCTGAATGGATTCCAGTCCCTCCCGAGCCTGCAGATATGCATCTTCCTTCTCTTTAACCTCTTGAGCCATTCGCTTCAGCTTCTTTTTCATCTCTCTTAGCAATGATTCCTCACTCCAGTCATCATCATTTTCAGACCTCGACCTTTTTCTAACGCTGCTCTCTCCTGATGAACCCTCTGATAGTGGCTCAGCACTCGCAGGCTGTAGCTCAGCAGGTAAGGCTGGCGTTGAGACTGGATGAGACACTGACTGCTCTTCCGTGCCGTCCGACTTGACCGATGAGACCGAAACATTCGGATTGTGTTTACAAACTGGAAGATGCCTATTCAGGTTGTAAAGACGTTTGAAGGGAGCCCCTCCCTCTGACCTCTTACAGCCTCTGTTCGGGCATGGAAACGACTGTTCAGGGCTAGGTATTGCACCCTTGTGCGCTTCGGTCTGATGTCGGTTCAGAGTAAAGGATGTTGCAAATGTCTGCTGGCATTTCGGACATACAAAGGAAGATGTGCTCTTCTGGCCGCTGGTTGCATTTAAGTTTAGCAATTGATGTGACGCCACGTAAATTTTTCATTACGTACCTGGTATTTTGAACTCCCTGATCAACCGATGCAACATTAGCCATTGGATTAAATTGCTCTTGGCTGGTCATGTCTCCGTAGGAGTGTAGTATTGGGTCTGGAGTGACAGTAGCTGGCAGCGCTTCAGTGAGCCCGTCTTTCGAGGACGTTTCCGTGATTTCTGCACTGTTCCTCGGTAACACGTCAAAGGACAAAAACAATGGATCTTGAGGAGCAGCTTGAACCAAATAAATGGGATCAACACCGGCGCCATCGTTGCCGAACGGGAGGCTGTCGATAGTAGGGTGCTGATTAAAGCCTGTAGTACTACTTTCGGGCATAAAAACGCTCTGCAGGCCAACTGCTGATTGTTAGAATTCCCCAAGTGAAGTAGCCAAGGCAACTTACAATCGTAGTACGCTGGGCCCGAGTTGTCCAAAAGGTCATAGACAGCTGGAGCTGGTGAGAACGTCGGGACAGGCGCTTTGAATTTCTCGGGCTCAAGATCACCAGGGCCGAGGATGAACATCCAACAAACACCCCATAGTACCAGTAATGCAGGTAATATAGTCCAGGGCATTGTCGTACAGACATGCCGCATATTGTTAGGAAACTCAAATATTATCTGAGTCGATGCGTTCCTGCATTTCAGTTCCTCATATGCGGATCTGAATCTCAAGCTCAACCTTCTGATGATAGACGTGATCAAATCAAACAAACCCTTCAAAATTGTGTCCTCAAAATCTAGTAAGGAACTGTAACTTCTGAGTATGTCGGAGAGAGTGCCAATCAGGGTCATGAACTCGACAAACTGTACGTATGAAGGGGTACGCTCTGCAGCTTTTAAGAGTGGTTGTAAGCGACTGTTGAGGCGGCAGAAACTCCGTGAGCGTAGAGACACTTCAGACAGAAGCGCTCCAAGTTCGTTCGATGTCTTGTCAGAATAGGTGTTGAAGGGATCATCATCCTCATGCAATAAATAACGATGGAACGCAGTAAGCTGCTGCCATTCTCCAAGGGTGAGACGTCCCTGGGTAGACTGAGCTTTGTCGACTTCGATGCATTTTGTTTCGACCATAACAAGGCCGGCATAAATGCTTTTGACCTCGGCGACGAGCTGTTCCTGGCTGATAGGTCGAGTTTCTGGATGCTGCATCATCTTTGACTCACTCCCAGGAGCTGGACGGGCTGGACTTGGAAGGGAATCGTTTGGCCTCGTAGCTTTTACAGGGGGACTTTGCAGGGCGGCTGATGGGTTATCGTTGTTGACACACTTTCTGGGTGGTACCGGCGCAGGCAATCTGGGTAGGCAACGTCTGGAAGAAGTCTCATACTTTGAGTCCACTGCCTGATCTGGCCACGGACAGATACCAATGTCGTCCCTTGTGCATGCTCGGCGAGGACTGCGCTGTACCTCTTGATGATTGTTAGAGTCAGCCACGGGCGAGGCAACACTCGAATCACCGGTCCAGAGGTAACGTCCCGCGGGTGGTTGCCCTCTTCGTGACTGAGTCTGTCGCAGACATTCCGCGTCCCTACCGTCATCCTGAAGACGGCCAAGCTGGGGGTCGGCCATGAGAGATGATGCGGTAAACGCTGTCAACGGTGTTTTGAAAGAAAAAGACCTTTGTGATAATAAAGTTTTGTATTAAAATGTTGATTTGATGAGGCAGTATGGACCTATATGAAAGACTGGATGTTTGGGGTGAGATCGAGGTTATTGAGTTTGAGGTGCATTTCGGGGTGCAGCGGGGTTGGTTTTGGGGTGCGAGGTGAGGCAATCAGCGAACCAGTTGCCCTTACAGAGCAGAACCAATCAAGGCTGCTCAAAGACGCCTCTTTCACCCCAAGCCCTGAAACGTCGGCTCTAGAAGAAACATAATTGGCCTTTTGTGTTGGGCATATTCCTCCAGAGACAGTCGGGTCGTAATGTGGCGAATATCGACGTGCGTCATATTTATATTTAGGTAGTGTAAGATCAAAATAGAACGTACCATATACACATTATCGTTCAAATCATAGAAGGACGCCCGAAGGCTGTGTATGGGTTGAGATCTCACTGCCTAAAAACACTACCGGTATGTCAACTCAAAAGGATCAGCCATTATCATCGCGCAACCTCGAGAGCAAGCTTCCGATCAATTTTCAAAGCCAAGCATCTTCAAAGTGGACATCTCAGCAAAGCATTGCCTGTATTATGCTATCGCATTTCGTGAATGGCGGTCGGAAGTTCTCAGATTGGTCTGTCCTGCTCCACAATGATAAAGAAGTAAAGAGCTGCCAAGAGATAATGCACACTACCCACATAACATCGCTTGATCTCTGGAAGGAGGTATTAAATTCCTATGCTAGCAGTTCTTATTTGTTCAGATGCTCTCTACCAGAACCAATACGTACCTGAAATAGTCGTCCTACTTGGGACCATAAACGTAAGTCAACAGTATCCATGCTTTTGCTGCGAGCGTTGGTAGGCGATATGATATGAGTGGGAGCGAACTGTCCCAACATTATGATCAAGGTCGATTGCAGAGACACGGCCCAAGAATTGACCATAATAATGTAGTGGTTAGGTATATAGAGGGGCTTGCAAGATTATATACATGAAAGGTAGTGATGAGAACCCATTATCCAATTCCGTTGATGGTAGCTTGGCAGATGCGATTCCGTGACGGCACGATAGATCGATTACAACCTTCCATCTACTGAGCACAACCCTCCTTCTTGCCAGTAATCCAATCTGCGGGTGCAGTTGTATATGAGGACGAGACCAAGTAGCAACTGACACCGTTGTGAGAAAAGCCAGCACAGCCGGAGTCGGCGTCACACGCAGCAGCACAGTCGTCCAGAGTCGACAAGTAACCCGTCTGGACACTGAAACCCCCGGTCATGATGTAACCGCATTCGATCTTGAAACCGCCCACGCACTGGCCGTGGGCCGCAGGACAAGTGATACCCTGGGGAGGTACCGCAGCCACGGAAGGAACGGTGGCTGCCTCGGTGGTTGTCTCAGCCGATGTGAAGGTTGTCACGGCAGTGGTCTCTGTAGTTTCGGCGGCAGATGTTACCGATGATTCAATGATAGCAGTGCTTGTTGGCTCGGACGTCGAGGTCTCGTCGGGCACTGCGGTGGAAGTCGACTCGATGAGCGCGGTGGTAAGAGTTGTTTCAGAGAAAATGACTGATGAACTTTGGGGTTTGCAAGGTCCAGCTACAGCAACGGCAGCGGCCAATGAAAGCATGAGGAAACGAGTGGCCACCATGGTGAAGACCGGTGATTTTAAGCAACTAAATGAGAGACTAAAGAAGACAAGAAGAAAGTGAGGTTGAAGGCTAAAAGGAACGAGCCAAATTGTACAATGTCAAGTCCCAGTCTCTATTTATCTCATGATCCCATCATACTCCCCGAGAAAAGTCTCATTTCCACCAAATGCATCTTCGTTAACTCTAACGGGGATGCTTGACTACAGTGGGAAATACATTTGCGGAATCGAATTTGACAGACCAGTAATTTTGGAGCAAGCGATTCCGCATCATCTCTCCCCTGTGGCTTGCCACCATTCAGATAGCTTACATGCCGAATGGGCGTTACGCTAATGTATAACCACGGACCTCAAACTCAATAGCGCGAGTCAAGCTGAGCAGAATTGCTTTTCAGCCCAGAAATATCGTTATGTAAGCTTAATTAAATGGTCTGATTTAATATTAACAGCTAAAGCTTATTCCATATTCGGCTTGCACTTGAAACGTAGGGCTTATAGTCCTTCTAGGCGGATAAGCTAGAAATCGACGAGAAACGGTTCCTCGTGATCGGGACTCCATCAGCTTCGGCAGATCGTGTTCGGCGCTTCATCGCCAGCTTGCTCGCTCTTTTCTTGCTATGGGATACCCAGTCTCTCTTTAAAGGTGAGCTCCTCATCAAGCTGTGCACCCTCCTTTGCCAACCGATCGGCTTTAGTATTCCACTCCCGCGGAATCCTCCAAAGCTGAATCTTGACACCGTACTCATCCCAACGCTCTACCTCCCCAAGAAAGACCTGCCACATATCCACATTGCTTACAACAGATCCGCCACTTTTCCTCCAGCCCCTACGCAGCCATGCTTGGATCCACTCTGTTGCACCTTTGACGACGTATTCTGAATCAGTCGCCAGGACAAGAGTGGTGAAGCCTTCGTTTGCCCAGTTCCTGTAACGAAGAGCGCCGATGATAGCTCGAAGCTCTACTCTGTTGCTGGTTGGGTTGGCATAATCGCCTAATGGGCCCTGGTTTTCCAGACGTTGGTTTACACTCGAAGTGGTGTTTGGTTCCTGAGGCCCGAAGACAAATGCCCATCCCCCCTTAGGCTCAGCTTGTCCGTTGCCAGGGCACGCACCATCAGTGTAGATAAGAAAAGACTTTGGATTTTCCACTCGAATAAATCGTGTCACAGGTGGGTGAGCTTTGCGTCCAGTGCCTGCAGGAAACAGGCTTTGGGGAGTTGCGGACGGTGGCGGTACAAAGACTGTTGGTAGGACTGATCCTCTGCCTATAGACATTCCCATGCGGCGAATGGGATCTAGTCTGTCGATATCCAGAGAGCCAGCGCGGTCGAGATCGTCTTCATATTCTTCTGGACGCCTCACTGGCCATTCGCTTGGGTCCTCGTCAAGGACGTCATCCATGAAACTGTAGTCGACGCAACAGTGTCCACAAACGACCAAGCCATGAGTACCACAGACCAAACGGCCATCAGCTAATTCTACTGGTCAATCGGGGGCCCAACTCATGTTGATGAAGTCTTTCCTGCGCGATGGATGATTTGCCTAGTAAGAAAAATTAGGTCTCGACGTGAAGAAACTAGCGCCTTGGATATGAGGCTTGAAGTTTTGGCACAGAATCGTGCGCGTCCGTTCGAAAGACAAAATTCAGCAGAAAATCAGAAAACGATAATAGCATTACGAAAATGATGCAATTGAGTAATTCACTTTCAGATAAATAGGTCCCTGCTGTTTGATGCTGTAGGCTTTGGCAGCCTGTGAAATGAATTTGGTTGGAGCTTGCTAACGTTAAGTAAGATCAACGCGCATTGGGAGCGCGCGGTGTTATGTTTCTAACAAAACGACTTCGAGTCACTAAGCAATAGACGTCCTAGACAAAGTACTTCAAGTTAGATCAGGCGCAAGTCATCGCACGGACCGTTCTCAATGAGCGTAGGGTAATCACTCAGATATTTGAGCTTCCATCATACAAACCCCAATACTAATGACATTTATGAAGAGATGTAATGAATTGGAGGAACAAGACGAAGAGTGCAGAGAAACGCTAGAAGCTTATTTCCCCAAGGAGAATCGATAGGTAGGTAATGCTTTCTTTGACTTAGACGATTGCATTCACACGGACGCGTTGTTAAGTTTAGCTAGGTGACCGTGGCGTGATACGCAACCTACACTTAGCACTACAATGATATAAACCCTTCAGGTAAATATTAATCGCTTCGAGATATAAACCCCATTGTTCTTGCGAAAGTGACCAGTAAGTTCTGTCGGCAACTAATATCACGAGAGTCGTTCTTCAAAGGGCGGATGATAAAACCTCCGTGGACATTTATTCCTCCGACAGGACAGGTCACCCCGGGGCAATCATTGGTCAATTCCAGACCCTCCAGCTCTGTCAACAAATGTCGATTGATAATCGTGACAAGTATCCTAGTACCCTCAGCCGCATCATGACAGTATTTGAGCTCAAATAGGAATTAGTAGGCAGTCTTGAAGACGAGCACTCAAAATTTTTGATCTTTTGGTCGCGTGGAAGCCGAGACAATAGCGTAAAGGCCTGCATGACAGTGCTTTATACTGCAGAAGGAAAATTAAAGGAGGCATGATGAAGCTTCGTGGCACTCGATTGCAAGCCAATATCATATCATGAGCTTGGCAACAGTATCTCACATGGAGGTTTCCTCTTCACTCCAAAGACCCCAACGGAGGTTCTCCAAGGCCTTTTAACTGAATCAAGTAATTGCAAGCATCTCAACCCCATCATCAACACGCACCTTCAACAGCCATGTTCCTCCCCCGCACTCGAACGGCGGCCTTTTCTTCCTCCGCCACTAAACCACGAGAGTATGAGGCGTCGAGGTCTGGACTGGATCTAGCAAATGTTGATCTGGGGGAATCCGGGGCCCCAGGAAAACCACCCATGGAGAAGTTCTCCCCCTAGCCACGAGACTCAGGATATATAACATGCCAGACCACTCGCTCAATTCTTGGCCCCCTGCACTCAACTCACTTCTACAACTTCTTGACAATTCATCATGACTGCCTATTCCAAGCGTGGAAGCATCGAGCAAAAGCCTGAAGACAACTTTGTCGAAATGTCTGTTGCCGATGGAGCTGAGAAACCTGGTGTCCTTGTTGACCCAGAGGCGGATTACTCTGGTGCGGTGAAGAAGACGGATCCGGCTGAGATTCGTCTTGTTCGCAAGTTGGACTTTCGCATCATGCCTACTCTTTGGGCGATGTACTTTCTTAACTACGTGAGTTTGATCCCGGCTGTTGGGGAGACTATGCTGATGTTGGTAGCTTGATCGAAATGCTATTGCCCAGGCGCGATTGAACGGTCTGGAAGATCATCTGGGCCTCAAGGGAACACAGTACAACACGTGTATCTCGATCCTTTTCGTTGGGTATGATGAATGAATGCCTTCAGGTTTCGTCGCGAAGATGCTAACGTTTGATAAGCTACTTACTCATGCAGATCCCATCCAACATGCTCATCTCCTCGAAACGCGTCCGTCCCTCGCTGTACATGTCAATCTGCATGATGGGTTGGGCTGTCGTGTCAGCCTGCACCGCCCTTGTCAAAGACTACAAAGGGCTCGTCGTCGTTCGATTCTTCCTCGGTGTCGCTGAAGCCCCCTTTTATCCCGGAGCCCTTTACCTATTGGCAATCTTCTATACACGAAAGGAGATTGCTATGCGACTATCGATCTTATACTCAGGCAACATTTTCGCGACGTCATTCTCTGGCCTGATCGCGGCGGCCACTTTCGGAACGATCGATGGGCATCACGGACTCAAGGGCTGGCAGTGGCTTTTCATCATTGAGGGTGTCTTGACCTTCGCAGTTGGCATCATCGGAATCTTCACTCTGGCTGACAGTCCCCTGACGACTCGATGGTTGACCGAAGAAGAACGACAACTTGCACACGATCGGATGCTGCGCGATACTGTTGGTCTGGAGGAGAGCAAGGGAGCTCGGGCAGGATTCTTCCAAGCTATCCGCGACCCTCGCCTGTGGCTCTTTTGCTTTATCCAGAACATGCATCTTTCTGCTTGTTCTTTCAACAACTTCTTCCCCACTGTTGTCGGCTCCCTCGGCTTTAACAGCACCATCACTTTGGTTCTGACTTGCCCTCCTTACCTCGTCTCTGGTTTCTTTGGTTACCTCGCAGGATGGTCTTCCGGTCGATTCAACGAGCGAACGTGGCATATTACTGCCTGTATGGGAATGGCACTCGTCGGATACATCATCTCTTGTGTTACGCTCAACACGCCTGCGCGATACATTGCTTGTTTCTTGTTCGCCAGTGGTGCATATGCAGTCAACTCGATGATTCTTGGCTGGGTTTCCGCAACACTTGGTTCGACAGCTGAGAAGAAGTCGGTCAGCTTGTCAATCGTCAACGTTATCGCCAACGCTTCGTACATCTACACTGCGTATCTGTACCCCAAGTCAAACGGACCGCGATATCTGATCGGAATGGCAAGCAATGCTGGCTTTGCGACTATGTGTATTGCGGGCGTCTGGGCTATGAAGATCTGGCTTGTCAAGACTAACAAGAAGCTTGATCGGGAAGGAAACACAAGCGCTACACGATACGCTTACTAGAGCCTGGCATGGGCATTCACTTACATCAGACATGCTCTAGTAGTGAATCATGTCATTCGTCGAAACGATTCATACCGTATCAACAGTCCTTAGTCAATTTGTCCCAATGGAGTTATAAACAATCACATGCCATTTCATTGCAATTATCTGTATGCGCACCGTGAACCAGAATAATCATCGATTTAACTTTGGTTAGTACATGCCTTTAGAGACCTCTTATCCTGACGGGCAAGCTCCACCTCACCAATAGTCATGAGGCCCATAGTGCGCCTATGTTTGAAACTTGTATTCAATGTTGAAGGGATCCTACTGTGAATGAATGGCTCAATACCTCTCATCGGGGTGATGCAATCCGTGACGCATGGTTTACTCTGACTGACAGATCTAGTAGACAGCATTGAAAGAAAGCTGGTGCAAAAGCGCATCAGGGAGGAAGCCAACTGGGCATCATGGCAGTGGACCAACCTATAAAAGTCGAACAAGGGCGAGCATGTTCTTCCAGTAAATATCTCGCACCGACTACATTCCGCTAGAAAAAGATCTCACCACAACTCCCTGCATCCCACATAAGTCTCCATCATAGTAACTCGTCAATTATGGAGCATTATCCGTACGACCGCGATGAGCAGAACCCTGACCGCCCCCCATCCCCCCAGTTTCCAAATGACTGGGAGGGGAACACTATGGAAGTTCGAAACACTCACGATGGCCGTATCGAAATCCACTTAACTTTGTTCGATTGGCCCTGCTCTACCTTTGTCTATATGGTGCCCCTAGACCAAGGAGAGGCCCAGAGACTGGTCTACAAGACCCGATAAGAACGGAAGCATTTTCTAAGCGAGAAGGTTCAGATGGAACTGGATCTCTTCACTGGCCGGATGTTCGATGATCCTGGCTTTTTGAGCCAGCTGAGGCAACTTGCACAGATATCGCATTATTTGTTGATGGGCGAGTTGACGTTGCATTGCCTTGCACGCTGGCCTCATGAGGCTGCCTTGGGACCCGAGTACAGGCGGGGGATGGTGGGTAGAGATTAGTCTACGACAACCGCTCAATCCAAGAGCATCATTTCCCAATGCCAGGGACTTAGTCACACAGCATAGTAATTCTTACTCATGAAATTCTCATGACATTGGCGATTCAGGCGAGCGAAGATTATTGGTGAATTTTACGTGTGATGGCCCGTGTACTACAGCGCTCTAGCATCAGTAGTCCATAGAATTAGGGTTGACGATAGGGCGGCAACCCCTACCAGGTACACTGAAGCGCCTGTAATTCTTTCTTCAACGTTTGATCGACAAACCTCCACTTCTTGTCAACCACTGACGGATTCGACGAAATGCTCATACTTGTGCACGTAAAATCACGAAGACTACAGAGGAAAAACGCATTAAGTTTATCTATCGGCTAGGGCGAGTAAGAGAAGGATATGATCAACGAAGAATTCGAACCTGCATATGCTCATACACGACTACACGCTTCCCTGAACTTAGATAGAACTCTAGGGCAGAGATATCTGAAGTTGAAATAAGATTCAAACACGGCGATGGAATCGTGGAGGACTGATGGCCCGTGAACTCACCTCCAAGAATACTATGAGCTCTAAGGTCATAAGTCGTTTCTATCAGCCCTTATGCAGTGACGGCATTAGCTAGCCATTTTATGCACAGCAGTCGAACGTGATGTGTCAATTGCCATGATCCTGATCAAATGTGAACCGGAATCACACCGCCAATATGCACATATGGCGAGCTGTCGAATGCTTCAGCTATGCATCCATAGAAGGCATATTCAACCGGTCCCGCATTGAGCACCAAACTTTTGCTATTATGTCGTGCTCGGATCTGCCGGTTTGTTTTAACGTGGAGAAGATCGCCCGCTAGTTCGAAGCTGACTTTGGACTAATGAATATGACAGCTCACGTACGTTCTCTAATGAAACTTCTGTTATCCAACAAGGTGGCCTAGGCGATATCTAAGACTGGAAAGTATGGGCGTAAACATATTATATACGAGCGTATTTGATTCGCAAAGACTTGAAAGACCACAGTCTGAAATCACAGACTATCACTTTCAATCTTGAATGCACGTGCTCCGACTATCATCGGCGTTCCTAGACCTTTCCCTCTCATTGGGACTTTGGCATTTCACTCACTGGCTGATCTAAAGCTTATAACTGCACAGAGATAGTTTGGGTTTCCTAAATTGATAACTAGCGTTGTCTTGGAAAAGCGATCTATGATCGAAATGGCAACTCTGCTTTGACTCTGACGACGCAATGCATATGTTGTCTCACGATCCAAGGTTGAAAAGTCATTTCAAGACCATCGATTCGTCAATGGATAGTTGACAACTTGTTTCCGCATCTACTAATTTCTTACTCGTGGAGTCGTGGCGTAAACGCGTCAACCGTGCATGTTATAGCTGATGCGCCAAGCGACTTGAGACATGCAGGACACTATTGAAAGCGCCAAGTGTCAATTGGACGCCGTCCGGAATGCTGATCTCTCATCCTCAACAAAGCCCTCAGAAACTTGGTTTTGGTGTAGATCAATTACCTGGCCTCAAAGTATGTGTTTTGATGCGGGAAAGATCAACCAGGAGCTGAAAGCTGACGTCGAACTAGGGGACAGTCAGCCATACGTATTCTGTCTCGTCGCTTTGACGTTGATAGTCGGTGAAGTTCTTAGGCATTGCAGAAGCGGCAGACCTGGGCAGCCTTCTACAATTTGAACAGCATCAAGCAATGGGGGGAAGGTTTTTGGATTTGAAGTATTTATATTGAAGTCGTCCTCTACCGAAGCCTCTTTTCTTTCCTCATCCAACAGCACAACAAGCCTTCTCCTAGAAATACCCCATACTCAGCGTTTACATTCACATATTCAAGGTCAATCACCTCTATGTCTTGCTTACAAGCCTCTAACTCTTCTGCAGATGTCTTCTGCACAGGGACTCATCAAGTCTAGCCAGCCTGGCAAATTCACCGCTACGTTCAACATCGATGGTAATTTGTACCTGTTTGCAGGCAACGTCAACCCGCCAACCCAGCCCTTCGAAAACAGCGCTGCGACTCTAGAGTACAACTCTTCTGAGAGCCTCGAGGGGTCTCAGCAGTTCACCGGCATCATCGGAAGTCGCAACGAGGTCGCATTCACGTTTAACGATGGCACCGCGATCAAGGGACCTCTTGATATTCCGGTAAACCCTGCAGCTCAAGTCAGTGGTACAGGAGTTTGGGCCCAGGGGTAATTCATATCATTTGTAATTCGATAACGGAGAGATCCTGGGGGGGGGGGTTGTGCAGAAGGGAGGACTGTATATAAAGTCATGACCTATTTCGCGGCCACTCAACAGACAAGTCAATCCTACACAATGCTCCTAATGAAACGGGCCAGTATAATAACGTAGTATATGGTGAAGCATCATTAGTGAAGGGTTAACAGAAATAGGTCTATACAGAATCTGAGGGCAAAGCTTTTGATAATGCTGATCGAACACGTAGCACACAGGATGTTAGCAGTACGCCCAACTTCTTCCAGCAAGCATCTGCCCAGTCCTTCAAGCAATCTCCTGCCGCAAGCAAGCCTGGAGATTTTCACCTTGGAAAAGGAAATGATCTACGTCTAGTTGCGAGCTGAAGAAAAGCTATAAAATGGCCAAAACTCTGCCTACTCCATATAAATCGCTGCTTGCAATCAATCAGATTGCCGGGTTCGTCTTGCACTAACGCAACCTGAAGGTCAAAGCGGAACGCCTGGACTTCCTGAAGTATGCTTTCATCATTTCATGGTCCTACTCTCCAGCTATATTGCTGATGAGTTGGCAGGCGAGTCTCAGACCGATTGGTTTTTATACCCCATGCCGCGTATTCGCTTCGAAAAGTACAATCACACTCTCTCCTACCTCGATGCTGCCGTCTTCATTTGGTTTATAATGCTCGTTATCAGAATTGTCACTGAAAGAGAGACTATTCTACCTATTTTCTCAGTGACGGCCTTCCTTAGAGATCTCAAGCATACAGCGAATCCAACGCCGTCATTGATATCGCAGGCCATAAGTACAGTTATTATAGGAGGATGGACTTCAAATTCAGATATCTAGCCACCGTGTCGTCAATCTTTCGTCGTGATTCGGGGATACATAAACTTTGGCGGTACTTTCTATGAAACCGTTTTAATATCAATGAGAAATTACGAACGACGTAAGCCAAACAAAGTGTGCTCAATTCAATGTAATAACATTGATTCACAGCACGAGTCAATGCTTTGCAAATACTGAGCCAAATTTGATCTGAGACACATGCATCATGACTTATATATCCTCCGCTGTATAGCAGTAAGTCGCATATCTCACTCAAATGGGCTACATGATGGCCAGCTGGTAAAGTCTGGAGTGAGAGGGTATACTGGTAACGTAAAAAGACATATAAACACTGCTAAGATTGATAGAATATGACCTGTGAGCTTGACCCTTCCATCCTCTCGTCAGCATAAGAGACGACCCGGTCTTTGAACTCATCGAGATCAAACTGCGTTACCCAACCTTGCTCCTGAAGGGCCTGTACGGCATACACTATCCAAGTCACACAGCTCTGCTGCGGATGCGTATTCTTTACCGGTAGAGATATCGAGTGAAACAGGTCATCTAGTTGAGCAAACGTGACATCCGCTGGCACTTCTCCGATAATGATACACCCAAGTGGTTTAACGTTTTCGTCGGGCTTAACATTTTCCTCAGCTCGGAGCCACCAAGTCATGGTAGGGTTGTGCATTCGAAAAGTAACTGGATTGATCTCGGATACATCGGTAGCAGAGAAGGCGTGATAGTCGCGTTCCTCGGGGCCATCGGGCATGATGATGATGCCCCAGTGATAAGCCTCATAGCCAAAGACTCGCCGCTTGTCCCCGCGAGAGTAGTCACCCCGATCATACAATGCCACAGCGACTTGCTGTACCATGGCGAACAACTACGCTTATCAGTCTCCTAGTACTGCGATACTGCGCGGTGACTAACCAGTTGAAGGGTTCATCCGAAGCCTGAAAGCTCTAAGAAACACGATTGGCTTTGGCAGAACACGATGCGGGGTAGTTGAGACTCGATATCCTGGTGCCAGACCAGGTCCTTTCAATGACCAGCTTCGCTATCCACGGTTTGCGCCGTCATCAACAAGATATTGGGCTGGAGTTGAGGCGCGCGATATATGAAACTGATCATCTTGGAATTTCTCCGCGCCCAACGTTCAAAGTGGAGTGACGATCGACATCGCAGGCAACGAAGATTCGTCGAAAGCTGACACGTGATCAGAAGCGAGAGCCAATGAGGCGACGAACAGTTCACTCAAGACTCGAAAAGAGGAAACAGAGTGGACATGGAAAAAGGTGCAGTGAATATAGAAAGCATAAGGTAGTAATCTCGTAAACATCGTATTGCTACCCCATTACGAGACATCAACTTGCACCGTAAACTTATTGGTCGGCCGGAGAGGATTTTATGCACCTTGTCTCTGGGGAATTACGATATAGGATTTTCAGCCAGTGCATAGCCTCATGCAGTCATCCAGTTCAGCTCGAAAATGCTGGCTCGATGCCCCGGATAAAATCTCTATCCACTGAGCTTACTTGATGCGAGGATCCTCGCATTCGGGCGTCGCCCTCTAATGCCGGCTTACTTTATGTGACGCAACACATTAATTACAGTTCCTCTTTAGCTTTTTGTTTTCGTTCCCAACGTGAATGGCTGGTGTAAGTCTGCCCCAAAGTAGCAATGGCCGTAAGGGTGTCGCGGTATAGACTGTTCGTTTCAGCCAGTATTGACCGTTCTAAGCGGGGCTTTTGTCGAGGGAAATGCGGTTGGGTTTGGCTTGAAAGTTGAAGCTTGAATGAGCAATGCGGAGAATGACAAGGGTCGTAGTAAGGAGAACCTCGAAGCGAAGGCAGAAGGCTGCTTACTTTGGAGGGATTGGGAACTGGCCGACTATTACGTTGCCTGACAGAAGATGCATAATGCTGCAATTTTCGTTTAGCTAAAATACGTCACTGGATGAAGTATAAAAAGCCGTCTTGTTTCCCGGTAGAATATGGCATTATACAACAAAGCAACTCCATCATATCCATCATCAAAGAACATCATCACCAAGACAAGTCTCATTCATCATGCACTTTCCAACTCTTCTCGCTGGCCTGGCCACTTTCTCTACCGCTGTAACCGCCATCCCTGCTGAAAAGCCTCACGTTGGCGTCGCCATCCTAACCGTCAACGAACCAGAGGACAGCACCTTTCCTCTCAACGTCCCTCTCGGCGTTCTCACCCATCAGAAGAACAACAAGCTCACAGAGCTGGAGTTCGTCAACGTGTACTCGACTATGAAGGGCGTCAAGCTCCCCAAGATGGACCAGATCAGATGCCAGATGTACAAAGATCAGTACGGCACTGAACCTCTCACCAAAGATCTCACTGCGGAGAATGGTGTTGTCAGCAAGAAGCCAATCTACCTTGGATGGGTTCTCTGCCGTGTCAAGTCGCAGAAGTAGGCTGGAAGAGTTGGAGTCGTTTGGAGGTTTTATGTGATGCATCATTTGATAGGCGGAGCTTGGAAATCGAAGAATGGATCGAGTGTAATGATAGTAACTTCAATTTGGTCACAATCAACATTGTGAGAGACTTTGTAACCGCAATTTCCTGCCACGCTACCCAGCGTACGTCTGTCTCGTAGAAGGCCGATGACTGTACGAGTCTGTCTCTTACTCTCCGTCGAAACAGTAGTCGTGAGTCTCGTCACACTAAGGCGAGAACAAGAATCGAAAACGTCGTCCACAGAACCATAATACATAGCATATTCAGGTGGCTGAGCAGGAAAGTTGGCAGAAGGCTTGTCGTCATCGTGGGGGCAATATTTCTCGTGCCTAGCATGGCATTTTTAGCAAATTTTGCCCCAATCAACAAGACGTTCGCGGACCTCCGTCTATTGAAGTGCCATTCGTGGACACGCCATCGGATTAAGGCCCAGTTGACTCGACGTCCACGAGCTGCTTCTCAGGAATCAAGACTTCGTGCCTTCTATGCGGTTAGCATCCCTCTATAATAGTTCTCTGAAGACGATATATCAAGAACAACCTTTTAGAGAGGCTGTCGAAGTTGCGTGTGATGGTCCTCCTCGCTGTAAACGCCTGGGCTCCAATTGCTGACCGGTCGTCAACAACATCCAATAGCGTAATTGGTTTAGTGGTAAAATTCTCCGTTGCCATTCGAGCAGTGTCGGGGAGCCCAGGGTTCGATTCCCTGATTACGCATTACTATCCTTGAAGCTTCAAGGGTTTCTCTTTTGCTATTTACAATTCATTTTTGTGGTGTTTTGGATGACTCAATTATGCTCAGCAACATGCGTAGTTTTGCCTTCCTTTGTCGGTTGATTGACGGAAGGTGGGGCAAACATACAGGGCGTTATAGCGGTCTTGGAACATGCGAGCTGCTAATTCCTCCGACACCTGTGGATGACGGCGGCCTATAGGCTGCAAACACAGATAACCTCCGACACCTAACCAAGTGCTGCATTAACGTGTTAGATCAAACGATGTTCATCTCACAACCTTATTCTTCCATGTCATTACGTTCTGTGAGGCTTTAAACTTAGTTCTCTAGGAAGGGCCATAAGCGCTACTTATCAGGGGATTAGTGAGTAGATCTTTTGCGCATCAGCTGGAGCCTGGTTGTTTGCCATTACTGACAAGTATGTGCACTCATGGAATCATGATAGACTCCGCGATATTTATGCACACAACCAGCTTCACGCGTCGCCCAAAGGCTCAAATTGCTACAGCGAAGTCGGCTGCAGCTTCCAATCTTCTTGCACATATTCAGAACTCACATTCTCTTACTCATGCTTCGCCTGTCATTGTTTCCCTATACGCGACGCGTGTTAACGGCGCGCTTCCGTTTGTTTGATACTTTTGCGACTCATCGCCCTTATTCCAACGCATCCCACAAAGCTATGTCTACGCCAAGTGTCAGATATAAGTACATCGAAGAAGTCGAGGTACTTGAAGATTATTGACCTGGAGGCTACCATCCTGTTCAGATTAACGATACTCTGCATCATGGCCGTTACCAGATAGTGCACAAACTTGGACATGGTACATTTTCAACCGCTTGGCTTGCCCTCGACCGAACTTCATCCACCTACCTTGCAGTGAAGGTTGGAACTTCAGACGCAGATAAGGATGAAGTCGATATTCTCTCGAAGCTCGCAGTAGCGGATATAGATGAAACCATGATCCCGCAGGTTCTTGACAGTTTCACTGTTGAAGGGCCCAACGGATCACATCCATGTCTTGTCACGACACCTGCACGATGTAGCCTCATAGATTCAAAAGATGCGTCTGACTCAGGCCTCTTTCAACTCGACGCGGCCCGGTCCCTAGCTGTTCAAGCTATAAAGGCTGTGGCCCATGTTCATTCGCGCGGATATGCCCATGGAGGTTAGTTTCTGATGCCTTCAACTAACCATTTACTAAAGTCTATCGCAAGATCTCCACTTGGGCAACCTATTACTACGACTTCCAGCCTCGCTCAACAACTTGTCAATCGACCAGCTGTACGAAAAGTTCGGTGCTCCAATACTAGAGCCAATTGTCCGACTAGACGGGTCTATAGAACCATTACCAGCTGGCGTACCTTCTCATGCTCTTCTCCCTGTCTGGCTTGGTTTACCGAGTGACTATATCTCCCTGTGCGATGCCAAACTCTTACTGAGTGAATTTGGTGTCGCCTTCCGGCCAGCCGACAAGACAAAATGCGAATCCAATGCGCCCCTTGTTGTCCGTCCTCCCGAGTCTTATTTCGAGCCAACAAAGCCCCTCACCTTAGAATCAGACATATGGAGCCTCAGCTGTCTGATATTTGAGTTGTTTGCCCATCGCTCCCTGATTGATGGCATCATCGCTCCCCAGGACGACATCACTGCGCAACAAGTTCACCTGCAGGGAATTGCACCACCTGAATGGTGGGATAAATGGGATAAGCGCTCAAAATGGTTTGATAGTAAAGGTCAGGCGCCCAGTAACGAGCGGGATATCTGGTCATGGGACAGGCGATTCACCCAATGGATACAAGAGCCGAGGAAGTCGGAGGGTATGGAAACCCTCAACTCAGAGGAGGCGGATGCGCTATTGGACTTACTAAGACGAATGCTTGCATGGAAGCCTGAAAATCGACCTAAGGCGCAGCAAATTTTGGAATCGAGATGGGTGAAGGATTGGGCTTTGCCAGCCTACAACAATAACAAGAAGTCGTAAGAGCCTGAAACTCTGTCTACCTGAGGTATATGCTTCCGTTAGAAAATGACCAGGGAAAGGATTAATAAGCCTATCTGGTCAGTTGAGGATCGGTGAATTGGCATTGTCCGAAGCGTTGTACAGGCTTTGGGGCGGTGAAACGTTGTGACTCTTATCACCTTGGCATATGTCGATAAACCCAGCCACCACGGGATCCTCGGACACCTCCGTCAACATCCACGCATTCCGAAGTCCCTCAAAATAAGAAAAGTATCAGTTGATTCCAAACCAATTCAGGCCATTTATCTTATCTAATCAGTTATATTCGGACTCCACGTCATCCCCGGCATTTGAATCTCTTCCGCGCCCCCCGAAGCGATGATGTCAGCAAGCCCCCACACGAACCCCTGTTCAAGGCTGAGAATTCGCATTCGTCACAAGGGTTGTGAGGCGTTGTGAGAAGGCGATTGGCCAGAGTCCGAGTCTATTTTTGTGATCGACGGATTGAGGAGCTGGGATTCGTCCACGCCACGGAGCAAGCCTCGTTCTGACTACTCAGCGAGTGGCTCATGTTAGACAGGACTTACGAAGCCCGCCGGAGAAGTCAGCTCTTTTCACGGAAGCCATGGGAGTTCCGTCTCTTAAATATGTATGCGTTGGCGTTCGGATATCTGGTGGCAATTCATCGCAGCCACATTCGGTCCTTTTTAGTTCCTCGTGTTTTGCATGTTTTTAGTTCGTTCGTTTTACAAGCTCTCTACGTTAGTTTCAATGGATAATTACGAAGACGATTTTCAGAGCACGCCGACTGGCAAAGTCTCAAAGGCGAAGAAGGGAAAGCCAGTTCACGTGTGTTCCGAATGTCAAAAAGTACGTTGATCTATACCAGAGGTAGATTATCTGCTAACCAAGCAAGGTCTACACTCGAGCTGAGCATTTGAGGTATAACTTCAAACACTTACACTCGAGACGAAGACAGTATGCTCACAACCTGATAGGCGACATCAGTCTTCACACCAAGAGCCCCAGTTCGAATGCCCGGTATGTCAAAGACGTTTCCATCGCAAGGATCTACTAGAAAGGCACTATAAACGGTGAGTTAAAAAGTCTCCGCGACCAAGAAACGCTCCTGACGATAATCTGCATAAGACATGAAGAAGGAATCGATGAGCCTTCTGGCTCTGGATACATGGAGTAGGCGTATGACGTTGAAGGAGTTCAGGGTTTGTTTTATTATACATCCGGTTATCGTGAGTAAAGTACATGGATGAGGCAACGAGAAATAGATGGATGTAATTTTATAAGGGACGATAGTGGGTAAATAGCTATGGATTGAATGTTGTTTTATAGAATAGATAAACTGTATATACAAGTCAGTCTCAACGACTTGGAATTCATTCACATGTGACTTCACCTACGATGAGATTGTTAGGCTAGTTGCTCATAACGGAGCATCGTGCTAAGTTACTACTTATCCAGGATGTTACATGCCCGAACGGCCCGGGAATAGATGCGAACTTATAATAAGTTTCTTAGTTATTAGCGCAGAGTATAACACTTTTCTCAATTGAAGTAATACAGTATTGCAATAAGACTGCAACCACCTGTGAGTTTCTAGAATTCAAGAAGTAAGACAATTACCAGTTCATGCATGTATCTTACAGGGTAGCACAGCCCCAGTCTTCTCCGCCTCGCGTCACCCTATTGGCCACCTGCTATTGAACAGCCCCCTTACTATTTTAGTGGACGACTCTATTTTAAAGCAAATTATTACTGTAAAAATTCTTTGAACAGTTGTCGTATTGGGTTACCAGTCTGTATATCCCTGATGCTAATCAACAGGCCTTTCCAAGCAGACACGATAGCTTGCCAAGAGAGAAGGGAAGATCTCACTTTTTGGTCTCTGAACACAAAATCCATCGTAGCAATATTCTCTTGCATACTTTGCTCTGGACTTTACAATGAGGTACATTTGTCATATTGAAGATAATCCCTCCTAGAAAGCATCATTGACACTGATTAATAGCCCAATTTCTGTCCCAAACATGGCACAGAAGCTAGACCACCCATACCAAGAAAAGGGATCAGACAATGAGGGGCTTCTTAACTACATTAGCTTCAATATGCAACCAGATAACAGCGGCTTCAGTTTTGAGGAATATAGGTTGGCGTATTCCAACCAAACGGGCACGAATGTCTCTGCGAACCCTCTCACCGACCGATACAGCGTGCCTCATGTACCCCCTCGGACCTGTTTGTCCGCCGCCAACTTATCAATGAAACGAAACTAACGTTGACAGACTCCGTGGGCCCAGTACTTGCATCTCAGTTGGCTCGACTGACGAGGCGAGGGCAGCCAATATGTCGTCACTGCCCGTCGCATTGATCTCACGCCATTCCCCTTACCTGAAAACAATGTCCTCGAGTTCCGAGTTCTTTCCCAAATCGCATATCAACCTCCCGGATGATGACGCTGTAGCATTCGGCCTTTTTGTGGAATGGCTATACTATGGAACTTATGATGACTTCCAACTACCGTCATCTTCGAATATTCATGCACGATGTTGGATTCTTGGCGACAAGCTCCTCTGCAATGAGTTCAAGAACCACGCTATGGGCCGTCTGTATAAACAGCACATGGAGTTTTCGGTGACATGCCAGGATGTGGAGTTTGTATTTGCGAATACGTCTGCGGCTTTAAAATTAAGACAGTTTTATACGGATTTTATCAAACAAAACTTCTCCAACCCGAAGAAGTTGCGTGGACCCGTCGGAAACTGGGATGCAATCTTGCAGAGGGATGCAGATCTTCGTATTTCATTGCTCCTTAGCATCCGACAAGATCAATTGTTCAGCCATCTGAAATACCTGAAAGACTATCTGGATTTCGACGAAGTCTTCTTCACAGGAATTACACCGCCAGCTGTGCAAGCTATACAGTTGTCAGTTAGGCAGAAGAAGAAGAGGAACAAGAAAAAGAATCAAATAGCTAGCACTAAGAGTGCGGAAAGCGTAAGTAAGAAGAACAGTGAGGTGTTGGGCCCAGAGTGGATCTAGCTATGGCGTAGGAACATGTCGTCGAGGATCCTCAGGACCACAAGATATAGAATGAAAGAACTTTGGCTAACAAATATTATAGGCCGAGCCACCTGACTCTAGTGTTGGAGTCCCGAGTCTCAAGCAGGAATCTTCTGTATGTAATGGATCTGAGCCAGTACAAGGTCCAGTCAGTGGTCATGATACCAAACCGATATGTCTGAGTCAGGAAAAGGCTACGGCCCCGCCCCAGACGGTAGAAAGCAAGGAGCGTACCGAAGGGTAGTGCCAAGCCGGAGCGAGTTATGTTATCAGAGAAGAGTTCTTGAGGATCTCTTTAAAAGAGAATGAACGAGTAACCGCTCCATGGAATAGTTTGCTAGTTCCTGCGTTAGAGAGAACCTAGTGTATCAGCCCGAGCTCGAATCCGCAGTATAGAAGTATTGTAAGCCCCCATGTGCTAGAAAATTTAACATATGCACTCTCTAGCAGTATCCTGAAATCTCTATTTCAGATCTTAGAACTATCCTATTGCCCGACATCTCGGCGTAAGTCAGGAGGAGGCACGGCAACAATTCGGCGCCATGTCAACACTGGGAACAAAATACATAGTAATTCGAGAATACAAATGGCAAGGATTAATTAACACTGTTACGTTCATATCCCAGTTTAGTAACTCATTGTTGACTTTACGGATATTGCTGGGATCAATGGGGGGTTGGGCCTGTCCGGCCAAGCTCCTCCCCGATCAACAAAGCCGTGTTGCAAATCAAATTGCCGCCATTAATTGGCAAGACTGAAGGATGTAGCTGCTGCTGCTCGATATAAGCTACAACTAATAATCAGTTGGTACATACGACCAAAGCTCGTAGANNTAGTTGGGTCGGTGACGACCAGCGAATCCCCGGTGTTGTATGTTTTTTGCCGTTTAGCTATTCTGAACTTCGAGGCAAAACGTTCGAAATGAATCTCTTTTTATCATTGTACAGCGTTCAATTGATGGCATTTTCTCATTTATTCTTCTGGCTCTGACTCTTCCACTGGCATCTCAACCCCAAACCCCACTAGAAACTCCGCAATATCGGGTTTCTCGCGCGAGCATTCTAATAAATCCTCCTCTTCTAGGGCATTGATATCTGCCCCGTGACTGATGAGCAGTCTGACTGATTCCAAGCATCCATATACAATGGCATGAGCCAAAGGTGTGAGTCCATCTTCATCGACTGCAGCGACATTGGCCCCGCATTCCAACAGCCGCTTGACTGTATGTGACGAATCTCCGATTTCAGCTGCGATATGCAACGCTGTTTGGCCATTCGCCGCTTGAGCCTCAATGTTATCACCGCGATCAACAAGCAACTGGATCAGTGTCTCCCTGGCTCCAAAGTGAGCAGCGAGGTGAAGGGGAGTATATCCTCGTGTATAACACCGCCATCTCTCCTCCTCAGCTTCAAACTCATCATAGCTCTCTTCATCAATGTACGGCCATGCTTCGGCAGCTTGGAGGTAAGAGTCTACCGATCTATGTGAGGTTGTCATTTTTAAGAAATCTCCGTCGTAAGGCAGCGACGGTAAAGCTGCGAGACTTGGTGCAAGAGTTCTGGCGGCATAGCAGAGAAACGGATGTGCCTTCAATCTCTCTTTGAGCTCTTGAGATGACCTGCACGCGCCTTCGTGATCGCCTCTTGTCAAGTACAGAAATGTCGCTCTGATGTGTCGCGCATGGTATTTGTCGTCAAAGACTTCATTCCGCAAGTAGTCTAACAACAATGGTGACCGCAACTTCATAATCTTGGTTTTAGAGTCGATAAAGGCAAAGTCGACGCAGGCGTTGGAGATTTGTGCGAGAGTGAACACTGTGTTGTCTTCATCTCTGATACCCCAGGCGATGAGAGCCTCCCATAGCATTGATGGGGTAAAGGTGTATCCGTTTTCTTCGCCATATACCAGATAGTAAAGCGAGCAGAGAGTCAGCTCTGAATATTTTGAGGCTCGGATTTCGTTGACTAGAGCTTTGCAAAAGGTTTGGGGGACATTCAAACTGGACTTTGGTGACCAGGACTCTACCAGGCTGAGAAAATTCGTGTTCGGTTGCGATGCGATATTGCTGAACCAAGTTGGTATAATAGGGAGAAACCTAGTAGGTTTTAGCGGATGCCATCATAGATACACAGCGAGGCTTACCGGCCGTCAGCCATGTCCATAAGCTTCTGATATGAAAACTGGCTGGTACGGGAATCATCCAGCACCTCTGTAGTGACAGGCGCCTCATCAATAGCTCTCGCGTGGTATCGACTCAAATCCTCGTTGGTAGCGCGTGCTGTGATCGTGTTGATACTAAATGCGTCAGAAAGCGCGTGTGAGGGCGGAACCCGACTGGTCAACATTAATTGGAATTGTGTCTTTTCGTTCAGCAGAATTTTCATCAGTTCACGCAAGCCAGCCTCATTTGAGGAGTCGACTCCGTCGAGGATGATGACAATCCTACAGAACGCAGATGCCAGCATCTGCAGTATAGCCACGGTACTTTCAGCATCTCCCAAGCCATCTTCAATGGTCTCCAGAATTTGGGCTAGTAGCGTAGATTTCTCCGGAAGCTGTGATACCAACTGTCTAGTGATTGAGCGCAGCGCAAGGTTGTAATCAGCGAGGTTGAACTGCAGCTCATGCCGACCAAAATGGTACACGGCGGCTCCGGTGCTTGGTCGGATCTCGTCATCAAGAATATGGCTCACGAGGTTTGAGGTAATAAAAGTCTTGCCCGTTGCGCCTAATAGTCGTTAGCCGTGCACAAAGCAGCAATAGAAGTTAGTGAGATACCTGGTCCATGGAGCCAAAGCACGCGACCGTGATTCCCGCTCAGCCAATCATTTGTCGTCTCATGGTCGAAACACCACTTCGCGACCCCGGGAATACGCGCATCATTGAGAAGTCGCTGTTGAGTGGCTGATTGATCACCCGGATTTAACCTTCGAAGCAGGGTCTTCCGGTCACTCAGTTGCATTATGAAATATGTCATGCAAGTATGTATAAACGGTTAAATGTTTAATAACTCAGGGCTAGGTATTTATCTGATGTTACCTTGTTCGATTGATCGTGGCTTAGCGGAGAAATTCACAGCCGGTCCTCAAGGATTGGCTGCGTCGTACAATCATCATCCCCACTCGCTAGTTCTGAAACATGTTCGTATTACAAACAAAAAGGGAGCCTGTTCCAGGCATCAACTAAAACTAATTTATTCCCCAGTCGTAAGATTCTGGAATATCAAATCAATTCTCTGTTTGCCCTTCGGGTCATATTTGTCCACGTATCTCTCCCCAAAAGGTTGCATCCAAGTGTCTGTAGAACACATAATCAGTAGAGGCCACGCAATAGGCAGCAGAATTACTCACCATATGTTGTCAGAGGCTTCGTGTCACAAAGCCAGATGATAGTGTCATTGACACTGTCTTTGAGATCGCTTTTCGGAAAGGCCTTGGCAATTACAGCATAGTCCTCTCCCGAAACATCGTAAGCTGGCCCCGAAAAGTCCATTGTGATGCCTTTTGATACAACCTGCACATCAAGTTCTTTGAAATATGATATAGACCTTTCTGTATGCAGCGCGATCGCATCCCATACCAGCTGGACATTCCTCTCATACCAAAACTTTCCATCTTGATGCTCTTGTATGAACTCACGCGCTGCGAAAGCTCCATCTACTTCGAACCGACGGTCAGTGCTGATGATGGGCGACGCTTCTGTCGCGTCCCAGTCAAGGTCGTGCAAGAGGGTAGCGACAGCGTGAACTTCTAGGTCGACTCTGTCACTGAGGGTTTCGTTGGAATTGATCATGAGGACTCCGTAGAGCCACGACCGCATGACGTGCTTGTAAATGGGGTATGTACTATGCTCCAGCGCAAATGCTTCAGCATCTTGAACGATTGGCGTGTTGATGACTGTTATACCAGCGACTTTTCGCGTCGGATATGACAGTTCGTTAGTGTTAGCTTCACAGTTGCCATGGAAAAGGGCAGCAAGAAAAACAATAGCTCCAATCTGATAGATGAACATGATGAGGTTATTTGAACGGTACTTCTCATTTCAGAGGGCTCTATCATATTTATTGGGCCTCCGAACAATACATAATGCATGCGATTAGAAATCACCACGTTAGTGGAATTAATTATTCACCAGCTTTGAGCAAGAATTGCTGACGTGAGAGTGTGCAATGCATGAAGTGAAGTCCTACGGATCGACGGTATGGAGTCGCGAAAGAGAGACTAAAGTTCTTGCGCGGGTTTGTCGGTATTAGTTAGTGCCATGGCAGTGATAAAGCACTTAAATAATGGGAACTGAAGACATACAGTCTTGTACTGTGGCAAAAGAATCACTCAGCCTGCACAGTGTTGTATCGATATTCTAACGTATATGCCTTATAATGTGTCGCTTTTATATACGTGCATTGTATTTCAAGGTCTAAGTCTATGGTTCAAAGGTATATCGTGATCTATAAGTATTTGCCCTGAGGCTCTAATCTCTGTCTATTGTAATGTCTATGAATAGGTTGTCTGCTTTTAAGACCCAGGTGGGTATTGCATTATCAAACCTTACCAACCTCTTGAAGCGGCCAAACCATGTTAGGAATGCGATATCCCAGTCTATCCATGTAGTACGAGGTATCGAGTCCGTGAACTCTCCAAGCAATGACTCTCTCCCCACGCTGTTCCACTAAACCAAAGTTTGGCTTCATGATATCAAGATGAGGACTAACATGTCTCGAAGCATCGGGCATCTCCCAGGCTGACATCATGAGCAGCTCATCTCCGGTCAAAAGACCCATCAGCTGTACGAACTTGTCATTTGAAACCGTGATGACTTCAATATCGCCAGGCTTCATCAACTGACAGCATTGGCGAGTACCTGGCTGGACGTCCTTTGACTTTGATAGCGCGAAAATTGTCCATGATGTCCATTTACCCATGAATATGTTGAGGGGGAACGGCTGAGGGGCAGTGCCTGAAGGGATCGGATGACGCCTGAAGAGGTAAGAAGTTGCAGCTTTGCGGCTCAAGAGGAATGACACTAGATCGTGTGCAATCGAGAGATTAGGATGGGGGTTGACGGTGGCGATCTGGCCTTTCTCATCAGTAGCCTCTCTGCGGACAAAATCGTTGGCTGACTTTGTACGCATTTCCTCCTGCTTACGGTATTCCTCATTCTTCATTTCATGACCAATTTCATGTCTTTCAGAATAAGACTCAATAAACGACAGAACATCGAAGTCGTTGTCGGCCTCGACGTCCACAATAAGCGAGTTGTTACGGTCCATGGCGTAAAATGTTGCTGTAATTTTAGATTTGCTGTTGTTTGGCCGGTAATTCTGTGGTGGGTTAACGGGATTAGCATAATAATTAGAAGTCTAGGCTCTTAAATACTAATAGTGACGCATTCGCGCAATGCGGTGTTCTGTTCTCATGTTCAACATCATATCTTAAGATTGTCAAAGGGCTTTGTGCAGACAAAGGGCAATGCTTTGGAGTGCTGAACAAGAGCATTATGTCCCAAACATCAGAGAACAAAGGATAGCCCGCCACTCAAAGGCCATGAAGACAAGTCATTGTAGTTGGACGAACGTGATGCTATCTGAACAATCCATCTGCCATCAAAGCCCGAGACACTTCAATCGTCGCCCAAACGCGTCTAGCGTGCACTAGGAACTTTTGCATCTTAAGCTTATTCGTATGGTTCATGATCCCTGTCCCCAAGCTCCTCATCCACCTTCCAAAACCGTGCAACCTCAAGAAATAACTCGCCATTGCCCAATGAAAGCCTCTCGGCATTCTTGGTCTCGCGGGGTTATCGTTCTCTGCCAAGATGACCCTCATTTGGTGCAACGTCGATCGGGCTTGGTCACATTTTAGTGCAGTAAAAGTTCGATGCTCGTTGGTGCAAGCAAAAGTGCCTGGGAGCCGTCACCGCTAGCGATAAGGCCTCCGCTAGACAAGTCTGCTGGCGATCATCATAGCAGCTTCTTGGCTAGATATGACCTTCCAGAAGCGAAACTGTTTCCGTGAACTTGTGTTCGTCATGATTCCCCGCCATGGATTGGCCTCTTGGCATTGAGATTGCCTCTGATTGCGTGACTTGTTTATCTGTATAAATAGAGACTCTCCGCCTTTGTGTTGTGCGACTCCCCGCTTTCGTTGTTACGACCAGTTCGAATTGCAAACATCGTCAACATGAAGTTCAGTACTGGTGTCGCGACATTGTTGGCGCTGGCTCCCAGCCATGGCCTCGCCAAGACACACAAGCTGGAGTCTAAGAAGATCCAAGCTGACATGAAGACCAAGAAGTGATCACCAACAGTCCTCGTACCAGCAACCAAGTGTTAACAATATGCAGCCTCATGTCGAACCTCGAAAAGTTCAACGACATTGCCTTTGCCAACGGCGGTAATAGAGCCTTCGGTCTTCCCGGATACGACGCTTCGGTAGACTACATCTTCAAGCGCATCTCCAAAGTCAAGAACGCCAAAGTCTGGAAGCAAAACTTCCCCGCGCTCTTCGCCTTTGTAGACTCAATTGAGCTCAAGGTTGACGACACGCCCGTCTACGTCTACGGCCTGACCTACTCCCCTTCAACCTCTGAAGAAGGCATCACCGCCGAGATCGCGCTCGGTCCCGAAGGCGCAGCAGGTTGCGACGCTTCATCATACGATGATCTTGACGTCAAGGGTAAAATCGTTCTCGTGCAGCGCTTCCGTTGTCCCACTGGCGGAACTCTTGCTGGAAGAGTGATTCCCGCTGCTGCGGCTGGTGCGTCCGCTGTCATCATCTACCACGATCTTACGACGAACGTGACCGCTGGTTCTCTTAGCCAGCCCGATCCTAAGAAACATGTCCCAGCTGGCTTCATCAACCTTGTTGATGGCGAGAAGATCAAGGAGAGGATCGAGGCTGGCGAGACTGTCACAGCGCATTTCCAACAGACGCAAACTATTGAGGAGAGGATTACGCAGAACGTTATTGCTGAGACCAAGGGCGGTGATCCTCGTAATGTCATCATGGTTGGTCACCCAGTTCAATGTTCAATAACTATACTAATGATCTCCCAGCTCGGTGCGCATCTTGACAGCGTTCAAGCTGGTCCCGGTATCAATGACGATGGTATGTCACCGGCCGCGTTTCATCATGACTCCACTAACACATCTAGGCTCTGGCTCATCCCTCATTCTCGAACTCTTCCTCGCCCTCTCAAAGTACAAGACAAAGAACAAGATCCGTTTCGCATGGTGGGGCGCTGAAGAAAACGGCCTTCTCGGCAGCAAGCACTATACCTCTACTCTCCCCGCCAAGGACGTCAACGACCTTCTCGTCTATCTCAACTTTGACATGGTTTCCAAGGGTTTCTTCGGTGTTGCTGACACCGATGGAAGCTCTCATGGATCGAAGGCTCCCAAGGGCTCCGAGGTCACGGAGAAGATCTTCACAGAGTACTTTGAGAGCCAGGGTATTGAGGTTACGCCCGCTGTTTTGACCAATGGCAGTGACTATGCTCCTTTCTGGCAGAACTTGAACAAGCCTTTTGGATTCTTGCATACTGTAGGTGTTACCCATTCGATCGTGCTTTTGCAACTGACCAAGGATTAGGGCACGGCTGTTGCACAGGATCCTTGCTACCACCAGGCTTGCGACACCATTGACAATCCCGATTCCAAGACTCTCACCATCAACGCCAAGGTAGGCCTTCTGCTCATGTCCTTACTACTTACGAAACTAACTTGAATAGGCTGCTGCACACATTCTGGCTGTCCTCGACGACAGAGGAACAAAGCTCATCCCCAAGACCAAGACCAGTGCCGCTTCGTTGCAGGGTCTCCAAGAGCGAAGCGTCGGCCCCGATTTGGCTCAAATTGACGAGCTTGAGGCGATGGGCATTCGACACTTGGGATGCGGTATTCATGAGGTCTAGAGATGTCCCTGGAAAAGTTGAGGTGATGAGAAAATGAGGCGATGAGTTATGAGTTGTAGTTTGTTGATAGACGAAAGTATTACAAAGGTGTTCGACGCACGATCTCACTCGCCCGTGAACGTATCAACAGACCTCCACTGCCAATTCCTAAATCTCTCGTAAGCCATTGGATCAGTGCCCCAATAGTGACATATGTCCTCCGCCGTCAACATTCTCCAATCCCTTTCAAACTCGGGCGGTCTCGGCGTCGACGTATCAACTCCTTCATCCCACGCTACCACATCCTTTCTCTTCGCCCAATCTTCGCCCGTCAATTTACAGCCTTTGCTACGTTTACATCTCTTCCCACAAGATGGGCACTTATAATTCTTCCAGTCTACTTCATGATCGCGTTTCCAAGCGTCGGATTTGCCATGAGGGTATGAACATGATCGCCTGGTATGGCCCATCTTGTTCTTAAGTCTGTTATCGTAATATCGTTGTGAGAGTTCTTCAGTGTTGTAGCGTTGGGGATGGCCATGGCGAAGAGAGTCGCGGTAGAGTACGTCTGTTGTTATCCAACAGCTCGAACCTCTTTCTAGATATGTCTCGAGAACGTAATCGCTTTCTGCGAGCATCATTCCGTCACATAGGTCTTCCACCTCAAATTCGGTTGTCATGGACGAGTCGACTACAGTGACCTTCACCCGCTCTTGTTCAAGCTTTTGAAGAAGTTCCTTGTTTGCTGGGTCCTTCACCTGCGCCTCGGAAAGGTAAACCTCAAAGTCATCGCGAGACATCCTCCAACTATCGGGCTTGGAGTTATCCAGAAGCCATTGAAGAACAAAAGCGTCAAAAGGATTGGAATGACCGATGATGTAGTGGTGGCGGAGACCAGGCGGAGGTGAGCTGCGAAGTCGTGGAGCACCAGTTCCAGCAGGGTCGTTGTGAACTTTCTGGCCGACCCATGACCATAGAAACATGCTGAGATTGGACCAACAGCTCTCGTAATATTCTCTTTTTTTGTCTTTGTCGATGATGGTGCGTATGTAAGCAATCCTTCTTGTCGATGCAGCCGTCATGTCTTCCATTGCTGCTGGAACAAGTCGATTCGTGTATCCGATGGGATCAAAGCTCAAAACCTAGACGGTAAAAGAGCCTATAGATCGAAGAGGCTCAGTTTTGACGACTTATTGAACTAATGTCTATAAAAATCTTGGTGATTTTCTTTTGTCGCTGTCAGATGAAATAAAGATGAAGTCGGCAAGTGACTCACCGCGAATCGAACCATCTCAAATACGAAAAAGACCTGGTGTTGGTGATTAGATCCTCGTCTAAAGTAGCTCCAAGTAGCTGTTGGCCTAACTGAAGTAACGAAGTGACCTCGAAGGTACCCGCCTCAAACCCGACGCTAAAATAGTCGTAAGCCTTTGTCATGCCTCTGTCAGACTTCTTTCATCCTCTCACAACAGTAATTCACTGCTGTATCCTGCAACCAAATTAAGACTCGTATATATTCTCGGTGAAAAGTATTTGTGTTCTTTCTTTGGGTATTTCTATCCTTCGGCTCTTCTACAATCTGTGACCAATCCTTTACTGGAACTTGATGCCCTCAGCCTTCTCATAAGCATAAGGAACACTGGGCGTCTTCCATCGCGGCGTCACCTCGTCATCGCTCAAACTGACGACCGGCTTTAGGATGCTCAGTTTCTTTCCATCGAAAGCGCTCGTCTCAAAGCTCTGATACAGTCCCCCATCTTCCGACAACTCTTTACCAAGGACTCTCTTCCAGCCATCCCAAACCGTCATTAGAAGATCAAGAACATGATGTGATCCTCTCATCTCTGCCCATTGGAAGCGCTTCGCACACTCGGCGACTGTTTCGGGTGAGTAGAGGCCGACGTCGGATCGAAGGGCGAACGCGTTGACGGCGACGAGAGATGCGTGTACAGCGTAGCTTCCGCCCTTGGTGGCGCGATCGCGAAGGGCGAGAAGAGTACCTACTGCACCGAGAGCGCCGGTGGTCATGTCGCTGATAGGTAGTGAAGGTAGAACAGCTTCGTTGTCGGGGAGGTTGAGAGAGCGGCCAGTCACATATGCGGATCCAGCAGCCGCATCAGCGATCTGTTGCCAACCGGGCCGCTCCGCATAATAGCCATCAGGGCCGTAGCAGTTCTCCGAGACGTGAACAATACCACGACCCCGCTCTCCAGCCATCTTGAGAATGTCATTTAATCCAAGGCCAAATTTAGGCATCTTGTTCATACGGAATCCTTGGATGAATACATCTGCATCGGCGATAAGAGACTTGATGATAGCGGCATCCTCAGCCTTCCGCAGATCAATAGCGATAGTGCGTTTTCCAGCATTGAGAGTGAGTTGCAGAATGTTGATATCGGGCAAGTGAGGAGGATTGACCCGGATAACGTTGGCGCCGAAGCTGGAAAGTATCGTGCCGATTTGAGGACCAGCGATAACGCGAGTCATCTCAACGACTTTAATATCAGTCAATGGGCGCTTATCGGTTGGATCAACAGGAGGGAATGCAACAGGAGGTGTAGGGATAGCTTGAGGTTGAGCCTTGACGTTTATAAGAGGATGAGAAGCGAGTGATTTGCCCATCTCGCTTTCGTTCCATTGTTTGGGTGTGAAGCAGATACTGCCGCAATTGCCGTTGAAAAGGTTCTTGAACTCAAGCTTCTCCGGCGAGAGCTTGCTTGTAAACTTTGCAATGTGCGCGGCTGCTTCTTCGTTGGAGGTGATGGCCTCAGATGGGTCAACGCCGATAGACTTGAGGACTGGCTCTGCGTCCATGGAGCCGTGGAGTGAATACCAAACGCCAGGATCAGAGGTAGGATAAAGCCCCGTGGTGCGATATTTGAGAGGTGTATCTACCCATCCTCGTTCCCAATCTGGTAAAAGCTTCTTCAGCTCTCCAGACTTAGCCAAAGTGAGGACATGTTTACCATCAACATATGCAGTAGCGACGTTGCCAAACCAAAGGCCGGCATGGGTAATATTGACAGTCACTCTTCGCTCTTTGTCCTCGAGACGTCGAAGAGTAAGGATCTCATCAGCTACTACACCAGCCATGGCGTGGAGAGCGGCAGCTACCGAGACTGCCTTGATAGGACCGGAGATGACTGGGAACTCGTCGCCAGTGAATCTGACTTTTGAAAGGGTGGATTCATCTTGGGTGAAGCCGGGTGTTTGAGAGGCGATGAGCCGGAAGATGCGTTGCGTGTCTTGGGGAACGGGGACAAATGTGCGGTCACTATGAGTACCAGGACCGTATACATCAAAGATTCTGGGTTCTTGTGACATGTTGGAATGGTTGCGTGTAGCCAAGAGTGATAAGTGAAGAGGTAGAACAAGCCAGAATGAAAGGTCAAGATGTGGATTGGTGAGATAGCTTGGACTATTGTCGGATGCTTGGCTTTTAGTAGTTCAGAGTGATGTTAAAGTCGGTGTAATTACGAGTTCTCGGTCACAAATCTTCAACCACCAGAGATCCCAAATTTCAACTCCACAAGAATCATGCATCTTCGCCATCTCCATAATAAGGCCGATCCACAGAACTTCAAGTCGGCAAGTTTGGACGCGAGCGCGAGCGGAATTCGGACATAGAAAAGATAAGTGGAATTGCATCTCCACGCAAATGCAACATGAGGCTCAAAAAACCGCCACGAGAAACGACGTCTTCAGGGACGAGAAGCTGATTTGTCGTATCTTCTCCACGATAACGCAGAGACGGAATAATGGAGTGGAGAAACGCGGACACTTCCGCACGAGAAGAGATCTCGAAATTTTCTAGAAGGTGAAAAAGAAGAAATCGATGAGATAACCGCATGGAGATTGGATTATCCGATCGGAAGTTTATTCCTAGGAGTGAATCAAGTGCCGATGCGTGTCGTTGATGGGATCAAATACCAAAGCACGATGGAGACGCGGAACGAAGCTATTTTAAGTCTATCTATTGGGCTTAAATGACAGTAGTGATGGTTACTGAAACCAGATCCTACCGTCAGAACATGAACCAAGTCTCATTCTCCATTATGCTATTTCTCGTCCCCTGTTATCCTGTCCCGAATAGTTGTCATGAGTAGCTCGTACACCGCATCGTCGATTTCGACCGTTTCCTTCTCTGGTGCCCAACCATCGTCTGGTTGATGCCGTCCCCAGGTCCGATATGGATTGTCCCAAGGCCCGCACATGCCGATATCATACTTGATATACTGCATCCGTCTTATCCTTCGTTGCAGCAATCCCGCACCATGCAGGTATCTCTGAGCCAATACTGGGTTCTTGGTGTTGCTGACCTCCACGCCTGCAGGTTTGCAGAAGTTTCTGTGAACATTCTCACTAACCCTTCGCCTAATCTCATCACAGCTGAGATGGGCAAGACCTTCGTGCTCTATTAATGCTTTGATACTCGGCCACTGAGACGACCAATCGCCATGGCCCATGATGAACTTCCTAAGGCCTTTCATGCGGCCTCTCCAAGTTTTAAGAACATTATGCCATCTGATGCCGTACTCCTTAGTTACAGAAGTAGCATAATTGTCCTCAAGGACAACGCGCGGATCTGGGTATCCGTCATTGGTCAAGGGGCCGTGTTGACGGGCTTCGAATAAAATAGGACAATCGTCCAGGTATAGTTCCTCTAGGGCCCCACTTCCATTTCTCTTTCCGATACCTGCGATCCAGTCCGTTTGTCTTTTATCAGTGACGGCGAAATGCCCGAGAGCTAGCACCTTAAGCTGAGGCAACGTCCCAATTTCATAGAGATTCATTCTCGGGAACCAGCCCCAGTACTCTGTGTAATAGAGAGACAGAGTTCCAAGATGATCCCCCAAACTTGGCGATAGCCAAGTGGAGGGTAGCTTCTGGAAGAATTCGTGTCTCTCTTGAGGAAAGCAAATCTGGGTTTGCGACCTATGATACTCTGTAGTAACCAGGAGTTTTAAATCATGCAAGTGCGGGAGGCGGAGTAGTTGCTGCCAGGCCTTTGAAGAATCCAGATTGGGATCGTGATAGTCGGCCAAGTTGGAAATCGTGAGCTCTTGAAGGTCCTCCTTACACCCGCCGACGAATTCTGGGTCATCATCTAGGTATCTCACTTCGAAATCAGGAAGACTCGCCCTCTCATCTATCTCGACCTGTTTAGCATGTGTCCACATTCCCACGACGCAGTGAGAGACAGTATCAAGGATTCTATATCGAAACGACCAGTCTTCTTCGATCCATGCCCATTCAAATTCCCTACAGTTATCTCCGCAATATTCACTGAACCTCAAGTGCAGGTTTGTGAGCTTTGAAAAGTAGCGGAGGGAAGGAAGGGCGTTGAAGAAGCCGCTGGGGAATTCATAGCACTCGTTGAGGCGTACTCATAACCTGGGCCAATATTCGTGTCAATGGTGATTTCCTTAACATAGCTACGAAGATGGGCTGATGCTGCAATGCAGGTAAAATCTGTGACGACGGTCCCATAAGCTCTAAGATGAAAGGCCTGGAAAGCGAATGGAGTCGCTGCGTCGTGCAACCTTTGAGTAGCCAATCTCGAGCGAAGGAGGTCGGGTTTCGGCAAGTTGGAACATATCAATGTGACGATCTCTGGCGGAAGAGGAAGGTCACTTTGATGTGCCGTCTCCATTGTCGAATACGAAGATATTTCTGGTTCCAGAATGTGATAATGCAGATGCAGCTGTGTCCGAGCTGATGTTCTCGACACCGTGGAACTTTGTCTCACGCCACTTCATGAGATCGAGGATTGACCCACTGTGCTAGGCTCCAGCCAACCAAGAAGTATAGCCTTAGGTCACCGCAATTGGATAAGACTTGGTCTCGTTAATACTCCCGAATGCGCTATGGATACGTTTATGAAATGTGAATATAGGATATGTAAAGTATTGGAGAATGATATGAACTCGGTCATTTACAGTGGTGGATTTTGTCCAATAACTAAAAAAAGAGTAATAGAAGTTTTCCGGCTTGGCAAGGCGTGAGGATCGGCGCCCAACATAAAGCATATAATTTTGACCTTCTAGAAACGACAGAAGACATTGATGGTCTTTGCTGAGATGAACAGCTGCAGCACTGCAGATACGTAATTAAATATCACATATACGAGCTTTATAATATGTCTGCGGCTTATGAAGCATTACAAACTTGTTCCAAAAGAGGAATAGCCGAGAAAACCCATATCCAGTTGGCGGCCGAACCATACATGGAGCATACGATAGCCTCATGCCTGTGATGATCCAAAGCACTTTTGCCGCAGGATTGGGATCTACGACATCTGCTGTGACTTTTGGTGAAGATCTCTGAGAGACATGCCGAGGGTAGTATTCATGGCATATTTCTCTTTACATGTGTATAGACAACTCAGAGGGCTAGTGAGAGAGGGAATTATGTATAAATAAAGTGATATCCCTTACCAAGAATCCAGCTTCTCAACTCACAACACTCTCAATCATCTCACAAAAGCTTCAAAGCCCATCCCAATCCACCAAATCCATCACAACTCGCTAGGAGCCAATTTCGAGTAAGAGTTACTGTCAACTTGAGCTATCCCCTACTAACAAATCCGATCCAGAATGCATTTCACTACTCTCATTGCTTCTACTGTCCTTGCTCTTGGTGTCTCTGCCGAGGGTATCAACTGCCACGGCAGCAGCAACTGCGCCAACGCCGGTTTCAAGCTGACCGGCCTCCTCCGAACCGCCCAGGACCTGAACGACAACAAGTGGTACTACAACGGCCAGCACATCGCTTGCTGGCAGGCTCTCGACAAGACCGGGTTCTGTGCTTTCCTCCAGAACACTGGTGGCCTTCCTGGCAAGGACATCAAGAAGCTGCTCCAGGAGCTGGTCAACCATGGATGTGCCAAGTGCGGCAGTGTCCCTGCGTTCTACCCTAGCGACAACGATATCAAGTCCCACGGAATGCTCACTGTCAACTACGTCTCGAAGACTAACTGCAACGGGCTCTGTTAGATGCTGGGCGTGCGAAAGCAACTGTCCTTGGCATTGGCTCTTGGAATGCACCTCGCCGCCCGTGCTTCTGAGGACACGTTCTTCATCAAGTCCATGGATTTGACAAATCATCCTTCGATTCTTTCTTGGTTTAGCTACCTAGGCTATTCTATCTTTCATAGAAAATAAGTAAAGGTTTTCCAGCATAAATACCCACAGCTCTGAAACCCCTCGAAGCTATATAATCATGGCAATCAGATATCTGCGAACAGTGTTTCTCGTCCGTAAGTAAATGGGCGTTTAATACCATCAGTATGGTTAGTAAAGATGACAACACTACTAGAGAATTAGTATCTGTGTCCAGTAGATATACGCTTGCCTAAAATGAAATCTCCACATCGTTTTGTACTGGCAACCCGTTGAGTCGGCACTGGGCGGATAAGATAGGACAGGTTGTTCGTATACCGGACAGGCTGATCAAATGGAGGGCTGTCATACTGAGAGACCGTAAGTCCTTTGGTGGGATTGCATTTGGCAACAGCAGAGAGTTCAAGGCTCCAGTTTTCATTGTCTATGTATGTCCATTGCTGAATAACCTCAAAGCTTCAGGCCAAAGACCCGATCCTTGTTAACCTCATGACTCATCACCAGAATAAGCTCCGTCAAAGAAACTTAATTATACCAGGCAGCAGCATGATACATACACTGTAAAGCTAGATAATAGACATTGGGCGCAATCCCTTTCGTGTTGGGGGACACGACTCGATGTGGTTCTTTAGCCTTATGGTTAGAGCTACCGCTACGGCCTTTTTTTTTTATTTTCCTTACTATTCTGTGATGCGCATGTTCGAATCTCTCTGCATTTGGGTTGCCCACTTTTCAATCCCGGCTTTGATGATGCAATCTGAGCACGTGCTGCTCTCACTACTAGTAATTGGTATTTGTTCCAAACGTTTCACTCCCGCATACTCTTTCTCTCCTTCTGCAACATTCGTGTAAATGGAAACACATCGAGCAGTGTCCCCCAACACGCTCGAATATTGCTGGTTCGAATCCAGTCCAACCTGGGTGAGGGGACAATGCAGGTGCGGACCCTTGCACTTGGAGCAAACTCCGAGTAGAATTCCTCTTCGTTCTGCGTTGAGGGTGGATTAGTAGTTACACCTCGTGATTTGCGAACTTTTTTGCTGTTGTGACATCATGTGAACCAGGGGGGGCACTAAAATGTCTTGATATTTATTATTTATTAGCGGAAATAGACTGAAAGTCAAAGAAGACTCGGATTCGAGCTGATGTGGCTGCTTTGGTCGTGAAATTAACTCATGACGTTGGAAGCACACAGCCTGACATTATCGTACTTCTTTTCTAGAGTCCATTATACTACAACGTAACTCTCACGATCCGATCCTCTTACCAGCAGCACCGAAGCTACTGCCTCTGGAAGGGCCTACTAACGCGGAGACAGCCGAGTTATCTACGAACTAACATAGTGATGAGTATTCTACTTTCGTCCAGGGCAGGGGCAATGTATCAGACTTGGAGAAGCTTTTTTAGGAAGAGGATGAACTTGATAACAAGTGACGGAAACTTGACCGTGTTGGATGTCTGTTGCAAGGTTCATATCATGGCCTCGCCAGCGCCGAGAATTCACAGCCACAGCCCTGAAAGGCAGGTCACCTAGCCTCCTTTGTGAACCATCCTATGTTGCTCCTGTCACGGATAACAGCCTCCACCTGATGGCCTATACCATTTATTCTCAGGGTCCATCTGCAGTTCTCTCACACCAAGCAAGACACTAGCTCCTTTTCACAGACGGCTGGCTTTTCTGGTTTCTTTATCGATGGACATAAAAAGCAAACGTCTTCAGTGTTTGCATACATACTAGAAGCCTTCGGCACTAGTTGGGTTATGAGGACGCTCCAGGCTGGTAATCCTTTTTACCTTGCACCATACACCAAAATACGATCATGTTCTCATTCATCAACTGTGTCCACAGCTAAAGTTTAACCTTATAATCGGCAGTCATCCCCATAACACACCAAAATACAAAAGACTCGGGTTTTGATTCCATAGCATTCCGGAAGAAGCTGACCTTGTCTCTGTCTTTGAGGAACAGGTATCCATTTCCGGATCGTAGAGCCTCTACCCCATGTTGATCTCCAATGGGTCTGACATATCCTCGATTTCCCTCAAGATTAGTATACCCTCCTTCGCATCACGCCGCAAGGTATTACTCCGCTAAGTAGCTTTCCAACTATGTCTCCTGCGCAGCGCGTGCATTAGAGAAGGTATTGGGCACATAATGTAGCGTCTCCCGCTACGTAACGGCGCTGTGAACGTGACCCTCTGACTGTGTTTGCCGCTCCTAGTGATGCCACATACTGATGTCTGTAATAGCCTTCTCTGACTATAGCACACCGCCAAAGGGTTGACGTAGACGTGGTAGCAGGACGCTGCTCTCGTGGCCCGCTCCGTGACAAGATCGATCCAGGGATATTAGACGCGATGATCCAGCCGACTCTATCAACAAATCGGCAAGTTTTGGTAGTGAAAAGGTCTGGTCTGTCCTCGGTATAGGCCCCTGGTTGAATCTCGACGATATCGGGGTATCTCGAACAAGCTCGGCAATCCTGGGAAGCATTTTCTCGTTTCGAAGTGGTAGCTGTTTCTGAATCGGGGCTAACTCTAATTCGGGGCTCCCCTCGACACGAGAGTCTAAAGATAGTGGGAATACCGAATCGTGCTGCCTTTCTAGAATGACGACTGTTTGGTTGGGCCTGGGTATTGAAGATTGTTTTTGGGAAAGCGCTGGGGGTTGTAAGGGCGTGTAAGGAATAGTCGGAGGCGGCGTGTCATCAAGCTCAAAAACCTCGATAGTACTCTTCTCTTGGTTCCGTTTTTTCGCTGAGATCCTGGGCTCGATGGGTGCGTAACCATCACAGACCACTCCATGAACAAGACAGCGACGGCAGCATGGGCGACGTTCATCGCATTTGATATGTCGGATCCTATCTAGTCAGCAAGCTTATCTTCCTGGTAGACCCGAAATAAATCGAAGCCGATGGACATGTGGACCTACTTGCTGCAGCGATCCTGTTAGCAGAGGGTTCGGAAGAGTACTGATTTGACTAACCATGTTTTGCAGCCTGTACGGACCTTACGAGCAGATGCACGTCTGTGTTTGGGCTTGGCACTCTCAGAAGCGTCGGTCTTGGCTGTCATTCTACTTTGGCAGATGTCGCGACGGTACGGCGAGAAGAAGTAGAAAAGATAAGCAAGTTATAAGTCTATCTCGAAGCATACGCCACATGACTCAAGTAGACCGTTAGCGGCGTGTCATTCATAAGCTGAACCAAAAGTGGGCTGGGATCAAGGGATGTGGGCTTCTTCCCGATGCAAAATTACGCGTCAACAATCAACCAGTAAGGGCCACGTCAGCGAGGGTCAGCTGGGTAACGAATCAGTAGTTAAGAGAACTCTACTACATATGCACAGTGAAATGAAACAAACGATATAGGTATAGCTAGATATTAAATAAAGATTGACCCCGGCCATACTGTAGCAAGACAAAAGCCCTAAGGTTTTGGTCAATGCTGCAAGCGTGCAAGGCTGGTCGATGCCACGCAAGACCCTGGCGTCATAACTAGTGCCGGAGCCGACAGGAACTAAGATTAAGCATCTAGCGTACGTCGAAGATCTTTGCTAACAGACGCAGACAGTGGATAAGGGATGTGCGAAGGGTGCAAAGGGTGAGATGCACCGAACAGGATCCCCCACTCGTTTACTGTCTTGATGAATCAATTGGGTAGAATAAGATCCGAGAATTACAGGGAGAGCCTGACATGATCGCTACAGGCAGAGCTCGCGTCCAAGGGCGACCAGTTGATTCTGATGACTCGTAGTCAAGTCAAAGCCAGTCAAATGGGGTCTATTCCAGAAGAGCTGACGAAGAGGCCGTCTACAGGTGCTGCGCAACCTGTGGAGACGAATGTCGGCCTTGACGTAAAAGTTCTTATGTATTCGTTTAAGTATGAGATCCGTTTGAGCACGTAACACGGTGTTCGTGCTATGACTCTATTTCCGTCCCATGGTGAAATCGGTGTTTCATGGGTTGCTCTCTTCATTACCAGTCTTGGATAAGGGTTTCAATAGACAGTTTGGTTCTGAATAGATTATCCTGGACAGTCTGAATTTTTGCAGGTCAACGTCACATTCGCCCGCAGTGGAGCGGCATCGGCATCGGCATCGCCAGCCCCGCCAAGCCGGGTCGCGGCGCCGACTGTCCTCACCCGGCCCGTGGATCTCCGATGACCTACGCTGAAACTTCACATCCTTTTGGACTCCTCAAAATGGAGACATGCCTCTCATGAATAACCATGGTTTTCGAGTTCTAGAGCCTGAATCAGAATATTTTGCGTGCCAATAACAAAATTGCACACGAGTCTCAACTGCTTCGCCTGAGCCATTCGATTCACACCCCATCATCATGGGCTCCCTCAGTTTACCCAGTTTTACACTCTCGACACGGACTTGTCTAATTTACCCAATCCCAAATGTCGCTTCTTATCATGCTACAGTGACATTTCGAACCGTCCATGATCGAATGGAGACGATGCCGGATAGCATCACGATTGATCACCAAAATGGCTTCATGTACTGGACAAACATGGGACCCACTTTCAAATCCAACGATGGCTCTATCAAGCGATCAAGATTAGACGGCTCCGAAAAGAACAACTATTGTGAGCATTGGTACTGTCGGTGTTTGTACCCCGACACAAATTCCTCTCGCGCGACAAAGTCGCAATCTTTACTGGCGTGATAGAGAAGGAGTGAAGGTTATGCACTGTCATCTTAGTTGATCTAACGTTGAGGTTCTCGTGTCGAGTGGTTCAACAGCAGATGACAGAAAAGACAAGTACCGCTGGTGTGTTGGTATCACAGTAGGTGAGTCAAATGGGAACTTCTACTGATCACAGAAAGGCCCGTCAATAGGAACCCAAGGCCATATCTTGCGGGCCAAGATTGACGATCCAACACATATCGAGACAGTCTTTGACAATCTCCCCTAAGCTGTTGACTTGGAGTTTGACGAGAGTACGCAAACTCTGTACTGGACAGATCGTGGCGACCCTCCGTCCGGAAACTCACTGAATCGTGCTTTTATCGGAGATCTTAGCTCTGAGCCTGAGCGCGAGGTTCTAACCAGGCGACTACACGAGGCGATTGGACTTAGTTTGGCTAGGAATACTGTGACGGTGTATGTGACGGACTTATCAGGAGGTGCATACTGTCGATCTGAAGACGAAGACAAAGACAGTGCTGTTTCCTGGTATCGCATTGGCGTGAAGAATGGATCGATGATAAAAGTTAATAGACTGTCACCCAATCGTAATGCACTTGATGATCAATTATGAGTTCCAGTTCATCTGTCCGAATAAGCATTACAACAATAGGACATACGGGCTGATCTATGGTTCGAGCCACTTGTTGCCGCACTGATAGCGCATCCAAATCAAGAAAACTGTGGCCAAGCTAGCTGATTTGTTTGACAGGAGAAAGTTCGAAGCAACTAGAGCTTATATCAAATTGTAAAGGTACACAGGCGACTGAAATGAAGTAAGGTTCTAGCATTGCACGTTAAGTTTGATAAACAAAAGTCTGTTGAACTGTCATTCAATCAACAGCCTCTTATCTTGAAAGTATAGTGGCGAATATAAAAGTAACAGAGCTTGAAGATCAAAAAGCTTTCTATCAAGTTATAGAAGGAATATTAACGCAAAAAGTATAATAAAGCCAGTTCAAACTTTGTACTACACATTCTCTCTTATAAAGTCCTCGCCCATTGCTCATCCTTTTGCTGGCAGTAACTCACACTATTATTTCGACCTGCAAATCTTAAAAAGAATGTCGATCAAAATGTTACCAAAAGCCCAAGATATACCATCCCACGAGACAGATCTCACCATAGAAGTAAAGATGGGAGACTCACCCCCCAACACTTCAGAGGGATCTAGCACCCCTCCACCCGAAATAAAACCCAAAACGTCGATACGAACCGTTCGGGTAGCTCAAATACAGGCCCTACCAGCGGGCGTACCCCCTCCCCCGACAGCGCTCGAGACAGAAGACTACTACGGTCTCTGGCAAAATAAACCCCGACTCCTCGCGCGATCAAACTATCCCGATGATCAGTGGTCGGGCCTATGCAACGGATGGTCGCATGTCGAGGAATCCCATCCATTCAACCGTCTCTGGTCAGATCCTGAGAGGATAATCCAGAAGGAACTGGTTGGTGCGCTGAAGTACACGAAGTGGAAATGCTTCCAGGACTATCGCATCGGGAGTGCACTGCAAGAAAGTCAGGTGAAACTCCTGATCATCGTCGAGACCGACTCTACGACTTATTCGCATGCCTGGGGTATCGCACGGTTGTGTAGGGATATCTTGAGGGGTTATGACATTACGGATGTTGAGGTCGAGGTTCAGGAGTGTACCGGTTGCTGGGCTATCAATCGGATCCGAGAGTCGGTGGGACCTGAGGTGGCTGTGCAAGATTGTCCTATTTGCCATTGATGCAAAACGAACAGGGGCCCGGTCTTGCGGTTGACAAGTTTGATGTATTGGGAGCCTTTGCCCCCATCATGTTTGCGACATTCTGCACCCTCTTCATTTGGATATCAGTCAGGACGATTTCGAGCATGTGTATCCGGTTTCTATTTTACGGCATATTTCGCGATGGTATTCAGGTTTATTATTGTTGTTAATTCTAAAAAAAGAAAATATCTCCTCGGATAGGTTTAACGTGGACGTAGTGAAGCCCATCGTGTCATCTTGTGCGCTATTGGTTGAGGGGATCCTGAAAGGGCTGAGGATGACAAGAAAATAGTGGGTCAAGTCAACCTTACATGACGCCTCAAACTCATCGTCTCCAACGTTGACATGACATCTCTACTAGCGAATAGAATAGCTCGTCAATATGGAACACAACGACAGAGAGACCAGTATCAACAATGGGACTACCGTATTCCCGAGCGAGTTCCCAGACCTCAGCGACCTGCTAGACCAGCCCGGCTTTTCTGACTTTGACTTCGCTTCTTTTCAGACCCCGTTCAGTAATGAAGTCGATCCTCAATTGTTACACCCAGTCTCGGGCTTTGAAGACAGCCTAGGAGTCAACTCAATTTCTCCGTTCGGGCTCACAGAAACCCTAGCTGCTACTACTCTAAACGCGCAAGGTGAAGCAAGTACTATCTCAAGCCCACCGCCCAAGACTGGGAAGCGACTCTCTCTCAACTCAGTCCGCATTCTCAACAAATGGCTCTCGAATCATACACATCACCCATATCCCAGCGTCCGAGATGTAGAATCGATTGAGAGACAGACGGGTTTGACTCGACAACAGATCCTAAACTGGTTCGCCAACGCTCGACGTAGGAAGAAGTTCAACCCACCAGAAACAACTGGTCCAAGTTCAGCAGAGGCTAGTCCCCGGGACATTCCCCTCCGTCGACCGCCTACACCGATCGTCCAACAGAGTCCACTCGAGCGATGGGAGAACTCGCCGCCCGAAGACGAGCCATCCACCATGGCCGCTATTGCGCGGGCAGTATCTGGCGCAAGTGGTTCCATCGACCAGCCTCACAGCGTACGAACGAGACATGGCAGGGCACCATCGTCAACTGGTACGTGGGCGACAACCGACACCTCTGATTCAAGTCGAAGCTCAAAGGCATCGGGCTACTCACATACATCCAACCGGTCACTCAATAGAGTCATCAAGAAGCGTCGGCGAGGAGGTCTACGAGCCAGAAACGATGAAAAGAGAGGCCTCTCTGTTGTTTGCCATCGCTTTCAGTGTACCTTTTGCACGGAGACGTTCAAGCTGAAGCATACCTGGTCAAGACACGAGAAGACACAGCACCTCTCCCTCGAGCAATGGGAATGTTCTCCTTTTGGTCCGACAGTTCTCAACGAGAGTTCTGAGACCGTCTGTGTTTACTGCGGTTTTGGAGACCCAGATGAATCCCACTTTGAGGAGCACAATCATGACCTATGCCATAAACGCGAAAGAGGAGAGCGAATATTCTATAGAAAGGATCATCTACGACAGCATCTTCGTCTCGTCCACGGATCAGAGTTTATGAAGTGGCCAATGGAGGAATGGAAGTCTAAGCATGAGGAAGTCATATCACGCTGTGGTTTCTGTGACATTACTATGACAACATGGTCGGAGCGGGTGAACCATCTTGCAGAGCACTTTAAGGAGGGCAGGACAATGGCAGATTGGAAAGGGAACTGGGGATTCGATGCTGCAACACTCGATATGGTGGAGAATCACATGCCCCCATGTAAGTGACCAAGTCCAAGATGAAGCAACCTACTCACGATTCAGATCTCATTGACTACGAGCGCAACTCGCCTCTTCCATTCTCTACGCAACAGGGTGCACCGTACAGCGCAACAAGCGCCTTCGAACTACTGCAACTGGAGCTCGACTACTTCTACTCTAACTATACCGACATCAATCACTGCATCCCCTCCGACGAGACTCTTCATCTTGAAGCTTGCTGCATTATATTCGGCGCAGAGATGAACTACAAACATGCGTCAACAGCAACATCTTGGCTTCGCGATCTTATAATGAGCGCACATGATATTGTTAACAAAGCAAGAATGACGCCTATGAAGAGTGCAGCTAAGTCTCGATTCTCAGAGCTGAAAATTCATAGCAAGAAAGATATCTTTGAGGACTGTAAGCTTGAGACGTCGCTCAGGCAGTATGTTGATATGCTGAAGTTGTTGAATCTGGACATTGGAGATGACGAGTTGCAGAAAGAGGCTTGTTCGATCATCAACCATATGCCTGATGTTTCACCCATGTTTAGCCAGTTGTTGATTGGACTAGTCTATAGGTCAACAGGCTGGTTGGCTTCCTTTCGAGAGAGAGTAGGGCTACCAACGTCGGAAGTTGTTTCATCAAACACGCAAGACGGCTTCGTCCCTCTACTTTCTTCTGGAGGTCTTCCTACGATAATCAGTAATGATCATGAGCATTGGAGTACACCGAGCGGTCCCGACTCTCCACCAACATCTCTAGGACAGAAGATCGTGTCGCTGAGCGACGGCAACATGTATAGAGGCCTAACCAGAGACTTGACCCGCTACGTCGCGAGGACCATTGCGCCTTTGAATCCAACAAGCCATATTCCAACTGACGAAGAACTCCAATATCAAGCACGATGGATCATGTACGACAGGTAAGAACCACATCTTCTCGCGCCAAACCTCCACTGACTTTGTTTCCAGCCACGATGTATGGAATCAGACTCCAGCCGATAATCTAGATTGGCTTACCGAGTTTAAGAGAGACTCCGGCTTTTTCTAGTTCTCGCCAAGATCGATAGTTTCACCTTAAATAAGAACCATTGTGGACATGAGGGCTGATGCTTACTTTTAATCGCTCACACCTTTCCAGCATTGTTTAGTGTCGAACCGAGAGACTGGATATGCCAAGACGTGCTCCCCGATAAATAAACCCCATTTAGCAGGGTAGACCAAGTCAGCGGCCGACCCTTGAAGTCAGTCCCACCAAGTCATGTAAAATCACTGACCCGCATGGAGAAAATTCTACATGGAAATAAGCATAAATATCACCATAGCAAAAAACCTCATGATATTTCAAGACTGAGAGCCCTCTGAAACTCGGCAAGCGAACGTCAGTGGCCGGTATGAGTAATAAAAAAACCTTAATGATATGCTCACATTTACCTCTCCCTTCAAACTCAAATCTTCCAAAATGCCAGTCTCTTGGCAAAAACAAGTCTAGATTACCATCATCAGCTCAGGGTCCACTCCACACTAAACCATTCCTGACCCTACGCCGCCGAAATACGACGTTAGCTTCGGCAGTTCAACCAAACTTTATTGGCGATGTCACCCTTTCAGGCTAGCAAGAGAATTTTTGCTTTGTTTATCTTATAAATCTGATAATCACAGTGGAGAACGTGAGGAGGAGTAACTGATTGATAAGTCTGATCATGTCTCTTTTGTCGGTTTGGCTTTGGCTCCTCATCTCATTGTCGTTGTAATCTTGTTTGCTGATAAAAATGGCTGAAAAGGCTGGATTTGGCGAAAGCCTTCGCAGTGGGTGTGCACTACGATGTGTTTGAGATATGTGCTGATGGTGTTTAGCGTTCTTCTTGGGAGCGGCGGCAAAGTCGAAGGAGGAGAGACGCCTTGTCAGGAAATTAGGTTGGTTCATCCATAGCCGCCCGTATTTGCCGATGCTGACATTTAGCAGATTTCTTCATCATGGTACGCGGCCAAAGCATTCAATTAGGTACATCGACAATACTGACGGAATCAGACCTACTGCTGTCTCAGCTACTTCTTCAACTTTCTTGGTGAGACGAATCTTCAAGATGCATCAGACCGTCCAACTTACCTTTGATACTCAGATCGTGCGGCATTTGCAAACGCCTATGTAAGCTCAACTATGCCAATCTCTTGGTAGGCAGGTATACTGACAATCTAGGTTGCTGGTCTTCGTGAATCACTCAGCATGACTGGCCATGATTACAATACTGTCCTCTCTGTCACCACCGCAGGGTACGTCTCGTTGACCATATCCAAAACGCCTACTTACCGTAACTAGAATGGCTATTGGCCAGCTTCCTCACGGCATCATCATCCAGAAGATCGCACCTCGACTTTGGTTCCCATCCATGGTCGTCATCTGGGCAGGTCTGACTGTAGGCTAACTGCATATGTTCACTACCAAAATGGCCGACTGACATGTTACAGATGGCTAGTGCCGCTGCCAAGACGGTTACTCAACTGTGTGTCATCAGATTCTTCCTCGGTTTGGCTGAAGCCAGTACTTATGCTGGTACTATCTACATCATTGGCGCATGGTACAAGCCTGAAGAGATCTCTAAGCGAACTGCCCTCTTCACTGCCTCGGGCCAAGTCGGTACCATGTTTGCTGGTGTCATGATGACAGCCATTCACAAGGGCATGAGAGGCATGTCCGGCCTCCAGGGATGGCAGTGGGTGTTCTTGATCGGTAGGTCGAATCGTACACAAGTACAAACTAGAGCTGACAGCTGTAGACGGCATCATCACCCTTCCCGTTGCCCTGTTTGGCTTCCTTTACTTCCCTGATATTCCTGAAATCACCAAGGCCAAGTACTTATCCCAAGATGAGAGAAAACTGGCTGTCTCCAGACTCCCCCCGATCAAGTCCGATGGCCACAATATTATGCCCATGTCTCTGATTAAGCGAGTCTTTCTTACTCCCATGTTGTATGTTTCTCCGTGAGGTCTTTGACAATTTGATTCTAACTACTTCAACAGCTGGATCCTCTTCTTTTGGTCACCTGTCTGCGCTAGTGTCGAGGGGTTCCCCTTCCAAAACACCTTCCTGCTCTGGCTCAAGTACTACAAGGACAAGTTCTCACAAACCCAAATCAACACTTATCCGCTTGGCGTGCAAGCCGTTGGCATCGCTGCGAATATGCTTGCAGCATGGCACATGGACGCAACCCGTCAGCGTGTTCCAATGGCCATCCTCGCCGTCCTTCTTCAAGTCGTCGTAGGAGCTATGCTTCTCGTGAGGAATCTGTCTGACGCTGGAGTCATGTTTGCCTTCTATCTCGCTGGATCAGCGTACATGGTCAACCCCCTCATCTTTGGCTGGGCAAACATTATCCTGCAGCGAACAGGTGACGATGCCGTGCGCAGTGTGACGCTGTACTCCATGAATATCGGCTCCATGGTCCTTTGGACATTCTGGGGCATCATCTTCTACAGTGCTGCTGATGCACCTTACTGGAAGAAGGGCGCTATCTCGCTTCTGGTTTGCTGTGGTGTCATGTTCTGTTACATCTGGCTGGTCAATTATGTAAGTGCTAGGCTACTGAGTCCACTGTTTGGCAACCGCTAACCAAGCATTTCCAGCTTGACAAGCTCACCATGAAGAAGTATGGTGACCGAACTGTGGAAGATCTCGAGGGGCCTATCGAAGTGAGCGGATCTGACAAGGGTGAGACTACCAAAGTATCGGAAAAGAACGTAACTTCGTGAAAAGGTCATTATCTCGAAGATGTGAGGAGGAAACTTTGAAAAGGAGTGGTTGAGGGTGATTGAGTATGTTTCTTGGTGTCGAATACGAAATGCTACCGCACGTATGAATGGTACCTCTTCCAGAATTGTCACGCAGCCTGAAACTCTGAGGGAAAGATCTGTATTCTAGATGCAATCACTCCTTCCCACCCAAAGTCACGGTCTGCTTTCGATCAACCTGTGGCTCAGAAGTACCAGTTTGAGATACTTTTAGAATACTTATTCTTCAGCGGGTTCTCGTACCAAAGATAACAAATCCAATTGTAATAAATGATAGATCCCATACTAAGCAAAAATCTTCTCACGACTTCATTACCCTGTTATGCCAGAAAGCTATATCTAGTACAGCTACTGCCGCCGTTGGTATGTTCTCAAGGTTCAAAGCTATAGCCTGCACGCGGTCCCAAATACTTCTTGTACGAACGTCTGATAGAATCATCAGGATCGCTTGTCCCGACAATATGTTTCTTGGTCATATGATCATCAAAGTCATTCAAATCATAGGTGTTGAAACGCCCCGGCCTGTCGTGGACGCATGCGCGACACATATACTCATTCGGTGCACCCTCAACATGCAACCGGAGGACACCGTCCTGTTTCATCAGGGTGTAGTAACTCAAGATGATGTCGGCCACCGCCTTACCAGAGTCATGCCAGCCGCAGTCACAAGCGAATTCTCCAGTACTTCTCTTGTGAGGCAACTTGTCACAGAACGTAGGATGGTCCGGCTGTCCGGGGCTCGACTGGATATTCGTACCCCAGAACATGACTCCCCCTAATGGTTCGTCGTGTTAGTCAAGTTGAAGGCTGGGTAGCAAGAAAAGACTGATGACATACCAAAGGTCTGGATTCGGGTATCCTTTGAGGGGTCAAGCCGCTGGAGGATGCGCTGACCCTGTTCGTCATTCATGCTCTTGGTGGCAAGCAAGACACGAGGAATCTGACTGCCATCAAGGCCTTGAAGTGTGCGGCTCAATTGAGTATCGTCGAGCCGCTGAAGAGAGCCCGGAAGTTCAGCGTCGTCAATGTTCTGGACGGAGAGGTGATCACTCATCCTATCTTGACTCTTATATAGTTGTGCAAAGGTTCGGTTGTGGATATTGAGTTTCTGAGCAGGAGACGAACGAACTGATAGTCGGAGCAGCCTTTATAACTGGTGATTGGGCTCCGACGACATTATTCACATGCTGCATTTTGCCAGCAATTGTCTCCCAACCCATCCACGTTCAGCCTCAATTGCGTCACCTTACGTCAGACCAGAATGTCAGAGCCTCATTTTAATCCTGTTACCAATCGCTGCGCCAGTCTCGCCATGCAAGATGCTGTGAAGAGGAAAGCATTAGGCCGCAAATCCGAAATTACAAAGGTAGTCAGCGAATAGTATTTTTTCAATGAAGTTTCGATAAGAACCGGTGCGGTGAGCGTGCTGTCGTAATTCGCAGTATCGCTCAGCCGCAGAGGTTGAGGGTCTGTAGCCCAGAGCCTGATGGGAAGGGATGGTTGCAACATAATAAATCACATCCCTTCAGAATGCAGCCTAAATTTATATCCATTGATACAATCTTTTCGTAGTATTCTCTCAGAATATCGCACACATGGTGTTGATGTCATCATTCAACCGATTTGTACATATAAGAGCGTTGTATCCCAACTTTCTCTCAGTAAGGCTCATATGATTCGACACCTAGTTTTAACCCCGATTTCGGGATCGAAACTACCCAATGCTAACTTTCCGCGAACAAGGTCCAAATTATGTAAGTCTTCTGTAGCGTGACCTGTTGGGGACTCTGTAACCAGGGGGCGGCACATAATACCACGAAGGGTACCATACAACAGGTGCCCACCAATACTCATAGCTGAGGTAATAATCCCCACAGTATGGAACATTGTTAATTGAGCTATCATAGTAATACCAGTTCCAGTCGTATGTGTAGTATCCTGCCCCTGGATAGCTCTGACATTGGTTCTGATATGGGACTTGATAGTAGTACTCGTTCATCTCTATAGGGTCGCGTGGCCAAGGTTGAACTTCTGCAGTTGTTTGCGGGTCTCGAGGCCAGGGTTGAATTTCTATAGATGGCAATAGTGTCAGCGGATATCATTACCGACCAGATTTAGATGTTGAAAGAAAAGGATAGTCATACCGTTCTGATTGTGGCGTCGATTTCGACGTAAGCACTGAATGATGCGGTGAACTTGATCGGTATCAATTGCTCTTAAACTGGCGGCGAGTTCGGTGTCGTCTAGACCTTGAACGACCTCTTGAAGACTGTGGCTAGGTTGGTGCGGTACTGCCAGCTGTTCTACCATATTATCGGCTTCTTTCTGGCTATTATGCAAGGTGGCCTAGGCGCAACGTAAGAATTTGGGAGGAAGGATTGGTCGGGAGGGTGACCAGGCGTCAGATCTCGCCGCGTGATATTGCGTCCACTTCTGCTGTCTTAGCTGTACGTAAAGACCAGCTCTATTTCCGTAGAAGCATTGTTTCGTACTAAAAAAAAGTGAAAAGTGCGTAGAAAGCCATCCACCTTAAGCGTTGTTTGCCTAATGACAGATTGGGCATATACAAAAGAGCCTCGTTTCAACCCCTACGCCAACCCGATACAGCTCGATCACAAAGGTCTACGTGGCAGTTGGTGCATATGACGTACCAGAAACTGGAGAGGCTATGAACATCCAATTGATTGTCATTACAGGTTTCGCAATACATGCACGGTGGTCTGGTGAGTTTTGTGTATCGGAGTACCAGCAAAAACGGGGAGTTGATTGATTAACAATGCAATAAGGAGCCTGGCTATTCCTGTCTGACCGGCTGGTGTAGTGCAACTTGGGTCAGGAGTGCCGAATATTGCACAAACTAAGGCCGTATTCGTAGTTAGACGAAGACTTTAGGCTACTCGAATGCTTGAGAGAAAGGCGTCAACTGAACCCGAAGCCGACTGTTTATGGGCACTGGCCTGTTCACGTTGGTGTTCTAGTAGCTGAATTTCTGAATATAGGCCAGAGTGACAATGAAACAAGCACATACGACCATACCTGCAGGAAAATACGGGATCCCGTCCGCTCTCCCATAGTCAAGCCTGTAAGGGGCGGATCAGTAGTTGGGTCGGTGACGACCAGCGAATCCCCGCTGTTGTATGTTTTTTTTTTGCATATTTTGTCTGAGTAATATCGATCGAATCACGATTTAATTGACTAGAAGCTCTTTACTCAATTTTTGTAGCGCGGTCGTTTCTTCATCGTGATATCTTTCTACTTCTCCCAGCTGCGCGCTATTCTCTTCCCCCACTTCTGAACACTACACAAATTCCACATAGCGCGGATACAATACCGAATCAGTGAATCTTATGATCACCACAGGAGGAGAATGCCTGGTTGTGCTACAGCGCATAGCGGGGACGGCCACAGACGCTGCTGGGCTTCTAAAGCACCATTGTTGAGGTGGGAAGCCGAAAAGTGAGCCAGCCACTGAAACCAGGTGAGGAGAGAGCTTCGTAGTATTAAGGCACGCTTCATACATAATTTTAGCATCCAACTAGGTCCAGCGCCCGTTGAATCAACTGTACCAGTCCAGAGTAAGGCACAGGTACCGCTGTAGCTGTCAGTTTACTGAACTGGGGTAACCCGGCACATGTATCAGGAAACACTTTTCCTAATCTGGGCAAAGACTGCGATGTGCAGCAAAATTCCTACTCGGGATCCGACCATGGTTGCCATCTTCATCTATCTGACAATATGATCGGTTGGCTCTCAGGACTTCTACTGTTACTGCGCTTTATTCTAACATGCCTATTGCTGATTCCGAAGTTCCGTGTTCCGGACGTCCGACATTACATAACAGAGACCTTTGGAGACACGTTATAAACTTGATCCATATCCATATTGTAGCTATTATACGTGCATCGACTGACAGATCCGCATTTCAAAATGGAACAATCTGGTGCTGCTTTCATGCATGGTCGTGTGTATACGGTAAATGACAGACAACCATGGGCCGAAGCCTTCATCGTTTCCCCATCCGGTCGCTTTGAGGCAATTGGAACCAACATAGAGATCCAAGCCTTGGCTGAGGAACATGGTCTACCCATCCACGATCTTGACAGCACTTTCGTCATGCCTGGGATTCACGACGCACATACCCATCTCCTAGTGGCCTCACTGCAGAAAATGAGCGAAATCAGCATAGGATATGATAGCACCGCCGCAACTATTGCCGAGAGCATCAAGAAAGGACAGGCCAGTTGTGCATGTGCCCAAGCTCATTTTAGAGGCGATTGGCTTATTGCAAACTTCTACGCCGGCCAGAACTTTCCAGATGGAAAGATGGATCGAAAGTATCTTGACGATATCTTTCCTGAGCAGCCGGTGCTAGTTCGAGATGTCTCTTGTCACAATGTCGCTCTCAACACTGCAGCTCTCAGGCGCGTCGGATATGGGGATGATGTTCAAGATCCTCCTGGGGGACAGTACATGCGAAGGTCGGACGGCCAGTTAACTGGGGAGCTGGTGGAAGCCGCATCGGCTGGTGTCTTGGCCATCCTACCTCAGCCACCCGTGTCGTTTGTCAAAGATGCTCTTCTTTATGGGATCAAGATGTCTCACAAGTTCGGCATCACTTCGTTACAAGAGGCGTCCGCTAACACTCTCTATCTCCACGCCCTTCGGGAGCTGGATAGTGAAGGACGACTGGACATGCAGATTTTCCCTCACATTGTCCATGCACCTGAGAGTTTCGCTCAGGAGAAAGCCGAAAGTTTGCATCGTCTCATCGATAATGCTGAAAGCTTCTGTAGTCAGCACGTTGATGCACGGTTTGTGAAATTTTGGATGGATGGAGCGCCCATACCACCTCACTTCACGCAATGCGATATTGGACCAGATGGGCGTCCCAATGAGGAGAGGCTACTGCTTACATTCGAAGAGTTGTTGGAAGCTTTGACTAAGCATGATGCGAATGGTTTGACATGCAAGATTCACTGTGCCGGTGATGGCTCTGTAAGACGAGCACTCGATGTTCTCGAGCAAGTTCGGCAGTCGAACCCTTCAGGTCCAGTGCATGAACTAGCACACTGTAATGCGATCCACCAAGGTGAGGCCCCATTCCAATGATGCCGAGTGTATACTGAACTGCCTCTCCAGATGACATCAAGCGAATGGCGGAATTGCGAATCACAGCCGAGATGTCGCCTGCGATATTTCACGACACAAATCTCACATCCAACTATCCCCATATCTTCAAATGGCCGTTCAAGGAGCTCCAGGATACTGGTGCCCATGTCACCGTAGGTTCCGACTGGTTCTTGACCGACACGCCAGACCTGTTCCCAGCCTTAGCGGCCGTCGTGGAGCGCTTTGGTACAGAAGTGGGCAAGACGGCAAAAGAGGTTGGAGGTGCAAAGATCTGTCGTATCATAACGCTGGCAGGTGCTGAAGCTGTAGGAAAGGCTTCGGAGATGGGAAGTATTGAGATAGGAAAGAAAGCGAATTTTATTGCGGTTGATCGGGACTTGAGTCACGGTGAATTCAGTAGAGCGAAGGTCCTCAAGACATGGTTTGAAGGAAAGTTGGTCTGGGGAGACACAGAAAATGAGGTATCTATGTAGCAGGATCAAACTACGGGCGCTTGTCCTGGCGACCATGTCCCTGCATTACTGAGGCTAAATACAACCGGTGCTCTAATTTCCCTTTCTCGAGAAAGTCTCGATACGGCATCACCATCAGAAAAGCCCATTTCGCTCAATCCATCCAACTCATCAGCCTCTCGCAGAACTTCGGCCGGGGCTTCGACTTCAAAAACAGCCTGTATGTCGCCATGCGGCGAGAAGCCCGTAAACTTCCACATTCTCGAGACTTTGGCTGCGTCAGGACCAAAGGTCCATAAGCGTCGGCGTTCATAAAAACCGACGCAAAACAAAAGGGGTGCGTTGACAAGTCGTGCGAGGAAGACGTGTATCGAGTAAAACTCTAGAGGTGACAGCAATGGTTTGATGGGAAGCAGTATCAGCAGAGCAAAGAGGTTGAACGGTGGCGGGTATGCAAATATGGCATCGCTTT